ATATCAGATTAAAAGTCTTCTACATTGCAAAGGAAACAACCAACAGAGTGAAAAGAAGACCTACACAGTGGAAAAGAATTGCCAGCTAGTCCTCAGAGGACTAATACCTAGAATATATGAAGAACTAAAAAAAATTAGATTCCCCCTCAAAATAAAAGACCCAATCAAAAATGGGCAAGTGAGATGAATACACAGTTCACAGAAGTGTAAATGGCCGGTAAACACATGAAGAAATGCTCAACACTGCTAGCCATTAGAGAAATTCAACTTAAAACAACACTGGGATTTTATCTTGCCCCAGAAAGAAACTCTATAATCAAGAAATCAAATAACAAATCCTGGTAGGGTTGGGGGGAAAAGGGACCTTTCTGCATTAGTGGGGATGTAAACTAGTACCACCACTATGGAAATCAGTATGGCAATTCCTCAAAAAACTAAAAATAGAAATTCCTATTGACCCAGCTATTCCCCTTCCAGGTACCTTCCCAAAAGAGTTAAAACCATGATATCACAGTGATATATGCACACCCATGTTTACAGCAGCACAATTCATAATAGCTAAATCTTGGAAGCAGTGTATATGTCCATCAATAAATGAATGGATAACGAAAATGTGTATTTACACACAATGGGGTGCTATTCTGCCATAAAGAAAGAAAAGTTTGAATCACTTGTCGGAAAATGGATGCACCTTAAGTCTATTTTATTGACTGAAGTAACTCAGATGCACAATTTAAATGTCATGTTTCTCTTATATGAGAAATTCAAAATATAAATAAAGAGCAAAATAAAAGAGATAATGGGAAGCAGGGAGATACACCTTTTTCAAATGGGAAGGGAATTAAGAGATGGAGGGGAGAAGGGAAGGAAAGGGAATTTATGAAGGAATTAAGAGGTGATCTGGCACTGGGGATTTAGCTCAGTGGCGCAGCACCTGCCTGGCAAGAGCGAGGTCGTGAGTTCGGTTCCCAATACCAGAAAAAATGAAAAAGAAAAAAAAAAAGATGTGTTCTGTATATGTACCAACTCCATGCAAGCAATGTAAGCATTATGTAGTGCAAAAATGTACGAATAAAAAATAAACATTATATTATCATCAATGAAAAAAATGGACTAGTACCAATTTTTCTTTGGAAAATTGAATATTTTTAGTGAAAAATAATATTCTTACAAGACACACAAATACATACACGCACACACAGGTATAGACTTAGGAATGAAAGAGCAGATCTTTAAAACTTTCTAAAGGAAGTACAAGAAAATATCTCTATGATCTTGATATGGGAAAGAATTCTTATACAAAGTATAAGAACAACATTGATGAATTTAAATTTCTAGGATTTAGCTCAGCGGCAAAGCGCCTGCCTGGCAAGCGCAAGGTCATGAGTTCAGTTCCCGGTACCGGAGAAAAACCAAAAAAAAAAAAAAAAATTTCTATACAGCAAAGATACTTAAACAAAGTAAAAAAGATATGCTACAATATGCAATATAACAACCATTGTTGAATCCATATCACCTTGTTTTTTGAAATCCTGCATAATTTCTAATTTTTTTTATTATTTTGTATTTTCTTTAAAATGAAAAAAAATGATATGCTGCAGATTTGGAGAAAGTACGGTGAGTATAAGTGATTTTTTTAAAAAGATCGGTTTCTAGGATATATAAAGTGTGCCTACAAAATGTTTGAATAGGGCTAGGGTGAAGCTCTTTGGTACAATGTGTGCTTAGTAGACAGAAGCTCAATCATCAGCATCAGAAAAAGCAAACAAAAAGTAAATACTAGGATAACAAAGCCCTACCACCACCATGGACAAAGAATACAAAAATAGGCTGCTACAGTTTATATCCAGAGGTTCCCTGAACCCCATGCACTCATAGGCAGGGCTTTTGAAAGATGATTGGATTAGGAGGGTGTTAGGGCTGACTTGCTGTTAGGAGGTAGGGCCTGGACGGAAAAGGTAGGACGCAGTGGGTGTGACCAGGAAGGGTCTGTCTTCCTTCCCGGCTCCACCACTGATTCTCTCTGCTTCCTGTCTGCCATGACACGAGCAGCCGTTCCTCTGCCAGGCCCCTGTGTCATGCTGTCCTGCTTAGCAGCCAGCTGACTGTGGACTGAAACTTGAGTCAGAATGAAGCTCTCCTCCTAAGTTGTAGGCGTCGGGTACTGTGTCTCAAGGATGAGAAAATGAACAAGACACAGGCACTCACAGAAGAGCCCAAATGACAGAGGTGCATTTGAAATGATCCGTGGCATCACTCATAATCAACAAAGTACAAATTGAAACTGTGATCAGACTGGCAGGGGTGTTTTAAAAGCTCACAACACCCAGTGCTGACCTAGTCGTTCACAGATACAAACCGATGGGAACTCCAGTATCTTCACCTACCGCCATTTAAAAGTATGGTTTCCAAGATCTCTGCAGCAGAGAAAGAGAACTCAGTCATTCTTCTGTTCTCACCTTGAAAACAAAATACACCACACCTGCTTACAGTCGGTGGGTGGGACTTGGGTCGTGGTACCAATACAACCACAGTGGAGGCTGGACGTGTGCTTCCCTGTGTGTGTGTCTGGGAAGAGGAAACTGAAAGAGGATTTAATGAATACATGGTATTCTCTCTGCCATATTTAACAAAATATTAAAATTTTATAAAGCTGATAGGTGGGTAGATACTAATTTTATTACTCTTCATATTACACTATACATTTAAAATCTTCACAATTTTTCTAAAAGGGGGGATGACAATAGATAAATGAGATACCCTGGGTTGCAGATCTAATAAATGAGAAATCAAACTACAACTGTTTCTATAAACTCTTTTGTCAAGAGATCCTTCTTTCAAGCATCAAATCTCATGACTGAATCCAGATTATTTATGTAAGAAATATTTATTGAATTTGTATTATGTTCCCACCCTTAGGGAGGGAGCAGTCCAATGGTAAAGGAGACAGACACATAAATAAATCATCACAATGCAATGGACCTTGAGACAAATGTACAAAGTGCTCTTGACCATTATAATCTGGTAACATAAATCTCTGGAACCTTCTTTATGATGGTCCTGATTCCCAGAGAGTTTTAAAATGTGCACTAGCAGTACATGAGGTCAATGTCATCTTCAATTACAAGAGCTGGGCTTCTGTGGAGAGTTATTTCTGGAAATGCCTGAAGTTAGACTTTGTTATGAACTCTGAGTCACGCTCAGCCTGTATGAGCTTGCTAGGGAGGAGCTGCTAAAATAATAGTCTCCTTTGACCTTGTGACTTCTCTTAAGTTGTTTGCTTTTCTGCACCAAAGCGGAGTAGAGAGGACCAAGTTCCCAATGGAAAAGACTATTAATTGCTCAACTTGTTGGTATTAAAGTCGTATGCCTATTGCCAGAACACAGAGGCAGACAGTTCTCAATATAGGGTAAATCTGTAATGGTCAGAGACTAAAAAGACCTAGCACATTTTCCAGATTGTCTTCTTTGACCAAGAACACAGTTGTTTCTGATAATTAATCTCCTAATAGTTTCCTCAGTGTCCTTTATACAAGGTATGACCGAAAAATAGGGTGATTTTTTTAAATTAATTTATTACAGTAAAAGACACACTGACATCAACCCCCTCAAAACACTCTCTCTTGCTTTGAACGCATTGAACCCATCATTCTGGCCACATTTTGAAGCAGTTCTGAAAGTCTTCTTTTGTGAGCATCTTTAGTTGTGCTGCCAGGGCTCCCTTAACATCTTGAATCAGTTCAAAAGGTTTACTTTTCCTGGTTAGTTTGACTTTGGGGAAGAGCCAGAAGTCACAGAGTGCCAGATGCAGTGAATCAGGTGGATGAGGACACACTGCGTGTTTGTATAAGCCTGCCTTTTCGGTTGGATAGTACTTGGCAACAGCATTCACCACATTTTTAAATCATACCTCATAAAGACATTCTGGTGGGTTCCATGATCTAGCTCATTCATTCATCCAGCAAAAGTTTTTGAGTTTGGAAGACAGTGATCAGTAAAACATACGCAGTCCTGTGACCTCATGAGCTTATATTCAAGTTGGGGAAGTAGACATTAAGTATACCGATAATATCTTGTGCATGGATAAATGTCTTGAAGAAGGATAAAGTGTATTGTGAAGGCAATCACACAATACTAAGGATTTGAATTTAGAATGGAAGGATTAGGGGCTACCAGTCTTGGATTAGGGAAGTTGTAAAGAGAAGACTAGATGTTTGTAATCTCTTTTGGTGACTAAACTGACACAACTTGGTATTTCATAGCCATGAAGATGAAAGGAGATAGACTGTCCAGAATGTTTCCCAGGCCTGAATCCTCAATATAAATATTTTCCTTACACTTTTAGCAAATTTTCTCTCATTTGTTAAAAAAGAAATGACCTGCATGCTGCACTCGTTGTGTAGGCATTTGACACCTAGACATGAGGGTATCCTTAGCTGACCAAGGAATCACTGGCACAGTAGCTGCACTGACCCTGCTGTGTTCTATGCCATTCATCTTCTTTTTGGTCTCACAGGCAGGATATGGCTATGTCCAGATGACAAGCTCCTCCTTCACTACTGCTCTGTATAATTAGTTTATGTTCTTCAAAGAGTAATTTTAAATTTCAATGTGTTGCCTTCCAGTTACATTCAAATGGACAAAAAGGATGCACAATGAAAAGTAGGTCTGTTTCCACTCTGCATCCAGACTTTGCTTTTCTTAAAGTCTACATCATTATGCCTTCCTCAAGTGTCCTTCAAAGAGATAATTTTTGCATGTGCAAACAACTGTTTTGGAAGTAAGTGGAAGGGTGCTCTGCACAGTGTTCCATACATTACATTTTTATGTACCCGGAAGATCTTTTCACATCATCTTTTTAATGACAGCATACAACTTAATTTAATCAATGTAATTTATTTATCAGGCCCTTTATTGATGGGCGTTCATGTTGTTTCTGACTCTAAGCCATTACAAATAGTACTGCATTAAGTAATCTCTAATAATTCATTTACACACAGGAAAGTAACACTGCAGAAACATGTCTAGATGTGAAAGGCAGAACCACAAGGTATGTACATTTGTAATTTTGATATCTCTTGCCATTATTTTATTTTATTTCATTTGATTTTTAGACAGGCTCTCACTATGTAGCACAGGCTGGCCTTGAACTCATGGCAGTCTTCCTGCCTCAGCCTCCTGTGTGCTGAGATTACAGGTGGTGTGCCACCATGCCTAGCTATTATATTTTAATTTTTATCTGGCCATAATTTAAAAGTGTACTCCAACTTACACTTCCACGTGGGATGTGTTAGTGTTCCTGCTTTCCCACACCCTCACCCACACATTATGTAACCAAACTCTTTGATCTATGCCAATCTGTGAAGTGCAAATATTACTGAATAATTCTAGTTTACATTCCTCTTACATCAAGATTGAACACCTTCTCCTGTAGACACAACAGCCCCAATATTTTACCTATTCTCTGAACTTTTATGTCTGCTACTTTCTAGGAAAAACCCTTCAACATTCAAATTAATAAAAAGCCTTCTTTGATCACCTATAACTAAAGACAGATCATCAAATCTGGCTGTATTATTTTTTGAATGTGAAGAAACAAATACTAATTTTGATGGGGTCACTAATTTACAGATATTAAATTCATGGGATATAATTCATTACTGAAGTAAACTAAAATTTATCCTCTTCTTTCAAAGGAACAAGTTTTCCATCCGTGCAACAATACAGATGAATATTAAATGCATATTTCCGAGTAAAAGAAGCCAGAATGATAAGCCTGGAGAAATCTACTTTCTAGAAAAGGCAGAAGTTATAGAGACAGAAAACAGATCAGCCAGTTATTGCTGAGAGTTTGGGGAAAGGAAAGCATTCACTCTGTGACGCACGGGGGATTTTGAGGACCTTGAAAGGATTTTGTATGCTACTGTAGTGCTGGTGAGGTGACTCTGTCCATTGTCAAAACCCATAGAACTTTGCTGAAGAGTGAACCTTAATGTATGCAAATTTTTAAACAATCAACTGGGATGGGTGAGGGATCCCAGAATGGAAAACCGACAGTGACAAAAGAAATGAAGTATATCACAGATTTATATCTTAACCTCACTGAAAAGGATGGGGAATATATTTGGAAATGACTGGAAACTAAGACTGAAGACAAAAGTTAACTGTATCTAGCACTATACTCTAGTTGGTGAGAGTGCTGGTCAGGGTACAAGTCTACCATTCTGAAACCACTGCACGCATGTGCTGGGATTGAACGAATGTCAATGGCTGGCAGATGGTGGGAGCCAGGTTTCTCCCTGCGGAGAGGAAAGCTCCAGGTGAGCAAGGAGAGGGAAGCTTGAATGAAGTATGTGGTTCTGGGTTAGAATCGGAGACAAATATGAACTCATATTTAGCATAGCATATGTATGAACAGATACATATGGAAATGATTGTAAATAAGTGTATATACACAGGATAGTACATATACAGATATTTCTTAGCCCTATCCATTCAGGTGGCCTAGAAGTGACAACATCGCAGTATGAACAAACACACCTAGTGACCAGATTTTTGTTTCTAACACCAATCTCCAGTAAAAGGAACCAGGACTCCTGGGAGGAAAGGCTGATTCCAGGACTGGGCCAAAGAATATACAAGATGAGCTGAGAACATCTTGCAGTTCCAGAAGGTAAGGAAGTGTTCAAAACTTAAAATGATGGGAGCATAACAAAGGACCTAGAAGCCAAGTGAAAAAAATCCCAATGGCCAAACCTGGAAAAACTGGGCAAAAAAGAAAGGATTGAGTTATAACCCAAAGTATAAAATAAATAACCACAAGTCCACAGTAATATAAATAAATGATTGAATAAATAAATGGACAAGAAGAGACACAACTCCTATAAACTCTAAATAATTGATGTATAGATAACTTCCCATCAAGGAAGTTTAGTGGAACTCCTTGCTCCTAGGATGAGCTGTGCTTGGTAGCTTGCTTCCAAAGAGTATAACATGGAAAGGACATGAAAAGTAACTAGTGACCCTGGCAAATGCTGTCTTCTTAAGTGATCAACTTTCAGCAGTAGTAGGGCATGTTAAGAGCATGTACCCTTAGTAGGATGTGGCTGAGGAGCACCTTTGATTTCTAGAGTGTTCTCCCCAACTTATAACACTAGGCTAACCCTAAGAAACAGCAGAGGAATCCACATGGAAGGGCATTCTACAGCACACCTGCCAGTACTCCTCAAACTATCAAGGTCATTTGGAACAAGGAAAGTCATAGAAACTCCTAGCCCAGAGGAGCCTCAGGGGACATTAGAACTAAATATAACATGGTCTTCTGAATGAGATACTAAAGTAGAAAAAGTGTGATAGTAAAGATGATACAGGTATGGAGCTCAGTTACTAAAAATGTATATTGTTTCATTGGTTGCAGCAAACGAAGCATGTTAGAATAGTAGGGGAAACTATGTGCAGGACCTGTAGCAACTCTCCCAATCAACTTTACAAGATTGAGGGGGTGGGTAAAGTTGATTAAAAATTATGCCTTCTGAACTATATGGAATAAGAGTGGTGATAGTGGACATTGTCTTGTTCCTGATTTTAGAGTGAAAGCTTTCAGTTTTTGTCTATTTAGTGTGATTAGCTGTTGGTTTGCCATAGATGGCTTTTATCAGATTGAGGTAAAGACCATCTATTCTAATGTTCTGTAGGGTTTTTTTTTTTATCATGAATAAGTGTTGGACTTTGTCAAACTTTTTCTGCATATATGGAGATGATCATGTGATTTTTGTCATTGGCTCTGTTGATACGGTGTATTACATTTATTGTTCAACATTTGCATATGTTGAACTATCCTTGCATTCCTGGGATGAATCCTACTTGGTCATTGTATATAATCTTCTTGATAATTTGCTGCATTCTGTTTGCTGGTATCTTATTGAAGAGTTCTGCATCTATCTTCATTAGGGAGATTGGCCTGTAGCTCTCTTTTTTGGTTGGGTCTTTCTCTGGTTTTGGAAACAGGGTAATACTTGCCTCCAGGAATGAGTTAGGGAGTATTGCTTCCCTTTCAATTTCATTAAAGAGTTTGAGGAGTATTGGCATTAAAACTTCTCTAAATTTCTAGTAGAAGTTAGCCATGAATCCATCAGAACCTAGACTTTTCTTTGCTGGTAAGTCTTTAATTACATTTTCAGTTTCATTAATTGATATTGGGTTATTCAGAATTTCTATATCTTCTTGATTCAACTGTGGTAATTCACACATATGTAGGAATCTATCCATTTCTTCTGCATTTTCCATCTTATTAGAATAAAGATTCTCAAATAGGTATTAGTGATCTTCTCAGTTTCCACAGGATCCATTGTGATTTCACCCTTTTCATTCCTAATTGCTTGAATGTGAGTCCTTTCTTTCCTCTTTTTGATAATGTTGACTGGAAGTTTATCAATTTTATTTAATCTTTCAAAGAACCAACTCTTCAATTCATTGATTCTTTGTATTGTTTTCCTAATCTGAATTACATTAATTTCTGCTCTGATCTTTATAATTTCCTCTCTCATACAAGCTTTGGGTTTGATTTGTTCTTTTTCTAGGAGTTTTAGGTTCAACATTAAGTTGTTTATTTGATCTCATTCTGTTTTCCTGATGTGAGAATTTACCACTATAAATTTCCCTCATGTGACTACTTTCATTGTGTCTCATAAGTTCCTGTATGTTGTATCTACATTTTTGTTTAATTGTAGATATTGTTTAATTTCTTCTTCAGTTTCCTCTGTGACCCACTGGTTTTTCAGGAGAGTGTTGTTTAATTTCTATGTGTTTATGCAGTTTTGTGGTTTCTTTTGCCATTGATTTTCAATTTCACTGCATTATGGTCAGATAAGATTTATGGGATAATTTTAATTTCTTTGCATTTACTTAGGCATGTTCTATAGGGTAACATGTGGTCTATTTTGGAGAACATCCCACATGCAGCTGAGAAGAATGTGTATTCTGATGTTGTGGGGTGGAACACCATGTAGACATCTACAAAGGCCATTTGTTCACAGGTTTATATTAATTCTTATATTTCTTTGTTGATTTTTTTGTCTAGTTGATCTATCTAATTGTTACAGTGGAATATTAAGGTCCCTCATTACAATTGTGTTTGTGCTTATTTGATTTTTCATGTCCATTGATATTTGTTTTACATAGTTGGGTGGACCAGTGTTTGGTGCATATATATTTATGATTGTTATCTCTTCTTCTTGGAGTCTTCCCTTAACAAGTATGTAGTGACTCTTTTTGTCTCTTTTGATCAGTCTTGGTTTGAAGTTCACATTATTTGCAAATAGAATAGCTACTCTGCTTTTTTTCTGGGATCCTTCCACATATAGTATTGTTTTCCATCTTTTGACTTTCAGTCTATGAATTTTTTTTGAGTTAAATGTATTTCTTGAAACAGCATATTGTTAGATCTTACTTCTTGATCCATTCTGCAAGTCTGTTTCTTTTGATTTGAGACCATTTACATTGATGGTTATAGGTGATATGTACTGGCTTATTTTCTTCATATTATTTCCTATTGTTGGTTCCTTGCCTTTCCTCTCTGTTTAACTGTTTGCTCTGCCTGTTGGCTTCTTTCTATTGGTATTCTTGTAGTTGTGTTCTTCATTTTTTCTAATATATGCTTCAGAGAATTCTGGAGAGCTGGTTTCATGGTCAGGAATTTCCTCAGGTGCTCTTTGTCATGGAAGTATCTTATTATTCCATAAATTTTGAAAAATAGCTTTGTGGGGTACATCAGTGTGGGTTGAAGTTTGTTTTCTTTTAGGGTTGAAATACCTCACTCCAAGCTCCCCATGACTTGAGGGTTTGTGTTGAGAAGTCTACTGTGATTTTGATGGACTTTTCTTTATAGGTGATCTGTTTCTTTTCTCCAACTGCTTTTCATATTTTGTTCTTGTGCTGAATTTCTGGAATCTTCATTATTATATGCCTTGGGTATAGATTTATTTTGGTCATGGCTGTTTGGAGTTCTATGTGCTTCATTTATTTATACATGAAATTCTTTATCCATGCCTGAGAAGTTTTGTGTTATTGTATCTGTGAAGTTTTTTTATGGCATTTGTGCAGTCTCCAGCTTTCTCATTGACCCCAATCAATCTTATGTCATCATTCTTTTCTTCATCTTGCAACTGTTGGATTGATTTTTCATGGTCTCTTGCTATTTTTAAGATATCTTTCTTTTCATAATCACTGCCTGCAATTCTATCTTCAAATTCTGATATTCTATCATTACTTTCATCTAATCTGTTGTGTATACTTTTGATGGAGATTTTAACCTCTTGGATTTCTGTTGCATAGATTCCATTTCTTTCCTCTGTTGTGCATTTGTGGTTTCTGTCATTTTCCCAAATGCTTCATTTTTTCTGTGTCTAGTCTAATATCTTTCATTTTGAGCATCATTTCTTTTTGTACCTGAGAGATAATTTTATAGCTTTTTCCACTTGTTTTTTCACTTCTGTTGCTATCATTTCAGAAAGTTCCAGTGGTTACTTCCAATTTCCTCTATCTCATTGTGCTCCAGGCTTGTTCTGGGTAGTCTGGGGGTCTGGGGTTGCATTTTCCTTCTGCATCCTGTCATTTTCTATTTTCTCTTTTTTATTTTATTTTGTTGTCTCTGTTGGTTCTTGCCGATTTCTTATGGTAGGTAGCCTTGTCATTAGAATAGAGGTTTCCCTAGGAGATGTTTGTTCTTCATGGATGTCTTCTAGACATAGGTGCTTTTTATGTCTATCCCAAGAACCTACCTTCCCAATTTGTTAAGGATGGAAAGTTGCTATTTGGCTCAGCATTCAGTCCTTTGATACTGAACTATAGTAGTTTGTATGACCCCATACAATCCCAGTGTTATCATACAAGGGAGAAAATCTGATTATAACATGTATGACATCCTGGCTAAAGTAGTACAGTTAACAAGAATAGTAGTATCTAGTAAAGCTTTGTTACTGAAAACTATAGTAACTTTTAACCTGATACCTTTAACCACAGAAGCAGATTCTAATGTCATATAACAAAACCCAAACTATAGCAGATTCTTACTTGCAGTGATTTTCCCCTTAGTGGAGTTCTTTTACTTGTTGTGGGGGGCAGTTAAGATGGGTAGAGGGAAGCTAAAGTGAAGAATGAAGTCTAATATAGTAGAATCAAGGCTGGAGGTCAAAGGATGATCACCCAACTTTTGCAAAACTGGAGGACACAGGATGGAAAGAATGAAAGAGGAAGCAAAGAAGTATTGAAGTGAATCAGAAAGGGAAGAGACAATGTTTACTCACATGAAAGTGTATAAACTGAAGAGGTAGTTGAAGAAAGAGAACAAGGGGATCAGTAGAAGAAAACATAGAAGAAATGTAAGACACCTAAACAGTAAAAAAAAAAAAAAGGAAGAAAGAGAGAAAGTAAGAACCCCAAAACAAAAATAACCACAAAATACAAAGTGAAACAAGACCAAAACCAACCAGACAGGAAAAGGATAGCCAATCAGGCAAATATGGGAGAATAGAAGTAGTAAAATTCCTCTGGTGTTCATAGTTCTGTGGTAGTGTCCAAGATAGATCCCAGAAGTGTGCTGTGTACTCCAGCCACGTTTGCCATGGGATTTATGCTGGGTATGAAGCCCATCTTGGCCTCTGGATGTGGGGGCTGGGGCTGGTCATCTGTTGGTGGAGTTCTCCAAAACCCTTTGATATAGAATGGCAGACGTGTCTGCGTCTACTATTTGTGTGTGTGAAAGCTCAACGCTGGTTCACCTAACTTACCAACTGCTGGCTCCTCGTTTGTGCTTCAGGCTTTTCTACCCTGCTGGTCTCACCTGGGCCTGCATGTGTACCTGCACTGAGGCCTGGTCTCACTAGTTGTTCACCCCAGCATGTGTGCACCTGCACCAGAGCCCCACCTGGCCTGGTCTCAATGAGTTGCTACGCCTGTCACAGGAGTGGCACCTCTAATAAATCCTTCTTGTGCCTCTTAAAAAAAACTGCTGAAGTCCTCAAGAGAAGTTCATGTGCTTCAGAAACTGTTCTGTGCATCTGTCCTTGAGAGATGGTTTTATATCTGGATCTCAGGCATAGTCCCATTCTGCACTAGGTAGGAAACATGGGTGAAAACTTCTGTAGTACGCTTATATTTTCTATTTAAATTGTTTGAGGACACCTATAAAGAGCATTACCACTTTGTTGCCATTTACAAGTCATCTTTCCATTTTTAACAATTACCCATCTTCCTAATTTGTATGATGACAAATTAGATACTCAATCTTGTAGTTGTCTGAGGCCGGCCTGCCCAGTCTATCTTTGTTCAATTTTGCTAGCTATTTTAACATTTCTAGGGGTGCTTAAATTCTCCAGGGCCTTGGGCTTTATGTTAACATGTTAAAGTCTCTACTTCACAGTAGGTGGATTTGAGTGTAAAAACTCCAGTGCTTCAATAAAGCCATCATAAATTGAGTATCATACACCCAAAATGCATTTTGTACATCTAACCTACCAAACACAGTCGTTGAGCAACACAGCATACATTAGAGGATCAACCATTCACCTTCAAGATTGCATAGAACTGTCACAGTGCAAGATTAAATCATACTATAGATCACTAGCTTAGAAAACAATCAAATTTCAAAGTACAAGCCAAGCGTGTTGGTGCACACCTATAATCCCAACACTTGGGAGGCTGAGGCAGGAGGATCACTGCAAGTTCCAGGCCAGCCTGGGCTACATAGTAAGCTCAAAGCCAGCCTGAACTACACAGGAAGACCCTGTCTTAAAAAAAAAAAAACAAACTTAAAAAAAATTCAAAGTACAGTTTTCCTGCTCTTATTATCGTAAAGTCAAAAACTGTAAGTCCAACCATCCCAAATCTGATCCTCTCTAGGTTCTGCAACTCCTTGAAGGCACAGTCTCTTTTCTCCTTTGGCTGGCCCATCACTTACGTTGCAACTTAACCCTGATTACTGGTTTAAGGGAAGAGAGTGGTGGGGAGTTAGGGTCTTATAGAAGGAAATGATTTCTCCAAGGCAAAACATCTCTGTATTGACTTCAAAAATGGGATATACAAACCTTTAACCAATTCAGACAGTGGGCCTTCCCACCAGCCCTTAGGGGTCAGAGGAAATCTAGAGGGCAAGAGTGTGGTGCATTCCCAGTTCTCATCTTGTGTCGCAGGCTCTCCTTCCTTCGCAGGTAGGACTGTGACTTGGACCTAGCCCACTCACTAGGACTGAGAATTTTTTCACTGGAGCACTCCTACTTTGTAATTTAAGTTCTGGGTCCAGGGAGTCTGGATTTAGGTTGCCATTGAGAGCTTCTGGCTTTTACATTTAGCCTTATCTTGGAGATTCACCATGGTCTCTGGCAATGGAGCAGTAATAGTGACTTCATTCCACTGTAGATAAACTACTATTTCCTTGAACAGGAAAATCAGGGATAAAAATGAAGCGGTCTCAAGCACACCAGAATGTCTGGTCACTTTAAAAGCATTGGCCTTAAAATACTAAAGTATATGACAGTTTTGCCAACTATAATTTCTCGATAACAATGATTGTAGTCAGTAAACTGTATGTCAGTAGATGAGATTCTAGGGCCCTGGATGAATATTAAGGAGTACCCTCACCCCCTCAAATTACTAGAAAACCTGTGACTGTATTTGACTTATAATATTCAGTGGGTCACTGAACAGGAATATTAACATTTCTTAGATCAGGTCCCTGACATAGAAACAGAATAGAAACACGGGGACAGTGGTTTGCAGAAACCACTCTCTCAAAAAATATATAGGAGCCTCCTTAGGTCTTCTAGCTAGTCCTGACTAGAAGGAGTTAAAAACAAACTTTACTGGAGACATTCTCCTGGGAAGCGAGCCAAAGACAGGGGTAGAAAAAGAAAAAACAACAAAAACAAAATAAAAAAGATAAAGAAATGTACCAAATGGCCTTGGGGCTTGCACCAAGAGACCAGAAAAACAGCTGACAGGCAGGACACAGAAGGAAAGCCGGCTGCATAAACAATGACCCCACCCAACAAAATATAGGGGAAGCAAGGGAGGGCTGACTAACTTTGAGGCAGTGCGTACTCACACCTATGCTCTGACATATGCATACCTATACATGCATAGTCACTCTAGAGTCACTGTGTTATTCACTCTAGGGTCATTACAGAGTACAACAGATATCCAAATGCCCTCTTACTAACCCTCAGCTAACCAAGGCACCCCTTTGCCCACTAGCTACCCACACCAAAGATAAGGCCTTACAAGGGAGGACAAGGACAAGTAAACAAACAGACGGAAAGAAGCTGCACACAGACCACCAGAAGAAATGACATTTAGGCAGAGGTGCCTGGAAGCCCATCCAGTTATGGTGAGTTCTGGGTGGAGGGGAAAGAGTCACTCATACCCCCAATAAAAACAGCTGAGAACAAGGGCTCGGGGGTCCTCCATCTTTCTGGAGCCCTCTACCCTGATTCTTTTTTATCAGGGTAGCTGTCTTCTCGTTTCTCCCTCCTTTTCCTCTTTACAAATGAAGTGTCTTCCTTTCCTTGAGCTTTGTCCGTCTGATTTATCACTGGGGCTGAGTTACAATCCTGGTGGGCTGCTTAGACCACAGAGCAGCGGTGCTCATCTCCCAGATGCAACAGAGTTGCTCAGATAAAGCCACTACACGGAAAGAAAAGACCAAGTCGTAGACCAGGTTGGCGCTGCAGACAGCATCGGAGTGTCTGGGGCTCGCAGTGCAAGGGCAGTGTCCTCCACAGAAACATCGGTTTGGGGATTCCAGGGCAGGTGCTAGGGGTGGCCTTGCAGGGGCTGCAGGGGCTTCTGATGCACACGGCAGTAGAGGGCCCTTTGAGAAACAGTGTGGGCCTCCTCCATCTACTTCATTTTAGCCCAGTTAATTAATCAGCGTCTTTCACCCATCGTGATTTCAGTTGCTAACGAGTTGACTGGTAAAGGAGAGAACATCCCATTATCATTGCATTTCAGATAAGTAACAAATAACTTCTACATACATACATGTCTCATGGGAATACAAAATAATAATAGCACAAATACATAATGTCAGGGTAATGTTATAATAAAACGTTATAGTAGTATCATGAACTATAAAACAAGACTTTGCAGTCCATACGGGACTGCGAAATGATAGTGGGCCCGCAAGAGTACACCACCTAGCGATGTCGTAGCTGTCTTGGTTTGCATGAGATACACTCTGGTGCTCCCATGAAGAAGAAACTGCCTGATGATGCACTTCCCAGAGTAACCCTGTTGAAAGGCACTGCATACACATAATATTGGCATACATTCTATGATAAAGTTAAATAGATACTGTCATACGATAATTAATTAATTGTATAACTGAATAATAAAAAGGTATTTGTTGTTTATTTGAAGCTCAAATTTAACTGAACATCCTGCATTTTTATTTTTTCAATGGTAAAATGGCCCTTATTCCCGAAAGGAGAAGACATTAACAAGGTACAGTATTAACATTAGGTGAGGGTCTACTATGAGGCAGACAAAGAGCTAAGCATTTTATTTTTTGTTTGTTTGTTTTTTGTTTTTGTTCCAGTACCAGGAATCGAACTCACGACCTTGCACTTGCCAGGCAGGCGCTGTGCCACTGAGCTAAATCCCCAGCCCTGAGCTAAGCATTTTACATGCTTCATCTTGCTTAAATTTTACAAAATCCCAGGTAATCTCTATTTCGTGTTTATAGTAGATGTCATATTTCGGGTTTTTTGCAAGGAGAAACAATATAATACAGGACACATATTTTATAAGATTATTTATAATAGTCACCCAAAGAATCATATACAGAGTGCAGAAAATCTGTGCACACACTAAAGGACCAAAGAATCCAGCTGAGGACCTGGATCCCACAGCAATGTCCCGCATGAGTCCAGCTGAAGACCTAGAGCCCATAACAGTATCTCATGCAGGCCTGTTCCACAGATCTGCGCTGGGAAGGCCCAAAGGTCAGTGGTATTATCTAGGGAGTCTGTACCAGCAGGATGAAGGATCTGCCCTGGAGCCAGGAAACAACACTCAAAATAAGAACCAGAGCTCTCCCGAAAATTACCCAGCCATCCTCAGCAACAGTGAGGTCCCGAGCTCCTCCAATGATGAGAAAAGCTGAGTTCCCATCAGGGAAGCCAATACAACAAGCTTCTCCAGGAGACTGAACAGTGCAACATCTGCCCCTCCGAAGCCAGGAAGCAACGCTCAAAGTGAGGACCAGAAGCCCCCTACCAAAAGTGAACCGAAACCATTACCCATGACAACAAGGTGCTGAGCTCGTCCGACAATGAGAACAGCCAAGTTCCTCAGGAAAGCCAGCATGACAAGCTCCTCCAAGAGAACCAACAGCTAATTACAGCTTTTACCAGCTCCCAACAGCCTTCTTCTTCTCCAGTTCTGCCTCTTATGCTGCTGGCAACAATCCCCAGATGGGCATCCCACACCCAGCACCACACTTTCTCAGTTCAGCTGGGTGTTACAAGTTGACCACCAGTTGTCAATCCACCACAATAAATGAAGCTCAGAGAGGTTAAGCGACTCATATAAAGCAGACTCCCTAAAAAGAAGATGAAAAATTATTCAAGCCATGTTACCTCTGATTTCAAAACCCAAACTTTTCTACAGTGAAAAAAATCCAATTTATTTCTAATTATTTCCTGGACAAGAGGTGCAATAACTTCTCTTGAGTCCTTTGTGCATATTTTGCACAAGGGACCCCTTTGTTTTGAAACCATAGATGCTTCTTGGTACCTGATCTAAATGCTTCCAGGGTTAATCTCAGCATCCTGGAATGATAGAGACGTTTGATGAGTGTTGTGTCTATGAATCAGAACATTCTGTTGAGAAAGGGGGATTGCAATCTATTGCTAGATGGATCATAATAGCGAATTCCACTGTTTTAGGCTAGGCTGTGGTTTAAACGTGTCCCCCCACATCCTGTGTTTTTTATTTGCTAAATCTGCCTGTGCAGTGATCAAGGGAATTTTCAAGCACATGAAAGTAGAAAGGAGAGTAGAAAAGACTCTCATCTAACCATCCCTCTTCTTGCCCAAATATCCCACAACTTGCTCCAGTTGTTTTTTATTTAATTGTTGTGCCTATCATTCCTTATGCTGTGAGGATATAGAAAACGTTACGTCCTTGAGTAGATTTTCACAAAGTTGGGGAACCAAATACTCCGCCATGACATAACTCGCAAAGAGTAAGTGCTGCTGGGTGTGAGGCTGTCATTGCCACAGCAGCCCGGGCAGAGCCTGTGTCTCTGGAGAGCGGTGGGAGGAGGCAACCTGGAGCCGAGGCTGTAAAATCTGGATAAATAAAGACAAGAGGAGAGCACAGGCTTTCTGGGCAGGGTAGGAACAGAACTGGTTGCATCACTCTGGCTCTGTACTAAGTCCATTTGACAGCACTCGCTCTTCCGACTTTTATCCCGGGGCAGAGCAGCTGCTCCCATCAGGCTAATATACATCAAGGACCAGTGTAAATGACATCATCAGAACCGATTAGCGCTTGAACGTGTCAGGGTAACAGCCCTTTGATTTTCTCTGGGTGACTCATTAATTAACCTCTGGAGTGCGCTGTCTTTGACATCAGCAGGGAGTTAAATTTTTCTCTGATTGAAAGGAGCTCTCAAGAGATTTATAAATGGATAAGAGAAATAAAATCTGTTCAGTTGTCCAGCTTTAGTCTAGTGCTGATAAAGTGCCACAGCTACTTAAGCCTATACACACATGTCAAATAATAAAGAAAACACAGGGTAAAACTGTACCCTTTTTCTTAAATTACATTAACATTGAAAAAGATCTCATTGTCTGTGCAACAATAACAAAATGTGGGTTCTTATGTCTTTTATGAGTTTACTCTTCAATTCCTCTCAATTTAAAGTGCAACCTCAAATACCAAGGTTGCAAGCTGAAAGGGCATTTTATTGAAATAGAATATAGATTAGGATCGAGAAACATGAAATTACCAGGTCCACACAAGCTCCCTTCATGCTCCCTTGTTGTTTACCCTGCAAAAGGGTGGCCATGACCTTCACTCCCAACAGCACAGAACAGTTTCACCTGGTTTTGTACTGGATATAAGTAGAGTCATACAACATACACTGTCCTTTGTGTGTGGCTTCTTCCATGCAGCATTGTTTTTATTAATCTTTCTTATCCTGTCTTATTTTGCTGATTATTCATCCAACTTCATCAAAAGTTAATCCTTAGTTCCAAATGGTTTACAACCTATGTGGCATCTTTATAATAAGATAAATATAAGAATAAGCCACAAGTACTTTCCACTACAAGCTGGTGGCCACTAGGAAAGTGCTTGTGTCACCAACGCTGCTCCTACAGGGATTCCTGACATCTGCCAGAGGAACAATTTTGCCCTTGCTCAAGAATGTGTATGTCTAAATCTGAGGTCAAGAACCAAGGTTTGCTTGTTGCCACTTACCTCATTACAAGCATGAGTCAAATTTTTAAAAAAAAGCCTCCACCCATCTCATAAACTGCCAGTAACCATGGGAACCTCTACCCTTGGCAAGACACTGTTTGGATTTGTGGCTTAAATAACCATGCATAATGTAGAGCACAGGTGACTGTCACATAATTTCACATACCACATACTACACAAGCCATGCCCAACGTTGCTCTGAGATACACTTTTTAAAAAAATACTTCATGTTCTTTTCAATGTTTAAAATTGTGGTAAAATATGCTACAATAAAATGCAGCATCTTCACCATTTTTTCAGAGTAGAATTTCATGGTGTTATATTCAGATTATTGTGCAAACATCACCACCACCCATCTCCAGAATTCCTTCTATCTTGCAAAAATTAAAACTATTCATTAAACAATAGATCCCCGTGGGCGCACACCTGTAATCCCAGCCCTCTGGGAGGCTAAGGCAGGAAGATCACAAATGTGAGCCCAGCTTGGGCTACTTAGTGACTTAGTGAGATCCTGTCTCAAAATAAAAAATAAAAAGGGCTGGAGATGTAGTGCAGTGCAAAGATTCTGGTTTAAATCCCTGGTGCTGAAAAAAAATTCCCCCTGTTGTCTCTCCTCAGGTCCTGGCAACAATCCTTCCACTTTCTTCAAGATACAGGCTTCCCAAGCACTGGATGCAAAACTGTCATGCACACAATTCAGACGCTTGTGGCACACGTTTCCCCCATGATAAAGTCATTCTGTCTTCCACAGGGTGAGCCCAGCCCATCATTACCTCCTGCTCCTCCCTCCTCTGGAGAGGAGATCATCATGCTAATCTCTGGATTCCCTTTGGTCAAAGCAAGCCACTTGGGCAGGAAAAGTTACTTGGCTGAAATGAAAGAGGGCATCTCACTCTCAGGGGTCTCTCTGTCATTTCCGCTTCTAGAAGGTACCCCAGTGAGTGAGTTGTAGGGTCACACATGGCCTTCTGAGGACAAAGGAATCTCCTCCATCTGCATGAAGCAGCGTGGGCCATGAGTAACTGTTTTTCCAACTGGCAACTTCTGACCTTGTTCTATTAGCCAGTCCTTTACTCCCTATTCTTGAGCCACCTCATCCAATGAACCTGCTGTGAACTAAAGTCCCAATCATCACGGACTTCCAGCCATAGAGAAGTTCAGCAAATCATGCCACCAAATACAACTGGAAAGCTGGACAAAAATGACTGGAACAATCATCTTGGCACTCTGAGAATACGTTCAAGGTGGACAACAACCTGAAAAGCAGGTATGCTTGAAGAATGAATGAACTTCAGGTAAGAGCAGTGAAGCCTGTGGTGTTGTGGCTGGGGCCGCTCCTCGTCTCCCACCACCCCAGGTTTGTCACTGCAACCACTCTGTCCGGTCAACTTAGCTAAGTACCAGCCACAGTGCTGCCACCATCACAGGGCATGAAGAACGAGGGAAGGACTAGAGGCATAGTGAAGTAAATTCTGTATTTTTCAGGAATTAAATTAGTATTAATAAAATGGATTATAATAAATTAAATATATATTGTTATGTTAAAAATACCTAAAAATAATTTTTCAAAAACAACAGAGTAATTTAAATGTTGCCCTAAAGTATTTAGTACAAAATAAAGCAATCAAGGAGGAACAGAAGCTGGGTATGGTGGTGCATGCACATGGGAGGCTGAGGGAGGAGGACTGTTGTGAGTTGCAGACCAGCCTGGGCTACAAAGTGAGGTGGAGCTCAGCCTGAACTGTATAGTGAAACCCTCCCTCAAAAAGGCAAAAAAGAATAAAAGAATAAGAATAAGAATAAAGAATGGGAATGGGATTGGGAATGGGAAGAAGAATGGGAAGGGGAAGGAGAGTGAGAGGAAGAGGAAGGAGGAGAAGGAGGAGGAGAAGAGAAAGAGAAGGAGAAGGAGAAAAGACAGAATAATTAAAAGCACAGTTCCCATATAGGAAACAAATAGAAAAGTGCCAAATCTAATTACACCAATAATTCTACTAAATGTGAATGGTGTAAACACCCCAAGCAAAATGCAGAGATTGTAAGACTAGATTTAAAGAGTAAGAGCCAACTACAATCATACCTTAAAAATATTAAAGACAAGAGCCAACTTTAGTCATACCTTAGAGATATCACAGGTTTTTTCCAGACCACAAGAAAGTAAATATTGTAACAAAGTGAGTCACACAAAATTTTTGATTTCCAAGTGCATGTAAAAGTTATGTCTATACTATAATATACTCTATTAAGTATGTGGTATGCCTTAAAACACAATGTACAGCCAGATGTGGTAGCACATACCTGTAATTCCAGCTACTTAAAAGGCAGAGCCAGGAGGATTACAAGTTTGAGGCTAGTCTGGGCAATTTAGAATAACCCTGTCTCAAAATAAAATTTAAAAGGACTGGGAATATAGCTCAGTGGCAAGTATAAAGCTCTGGGTTCTATTCCCAATACTGCAAAACAAAAGCAAAAGCTACTCTACATACTTAATGAAAATTTCTTTACTGGTTAAAAAAAAAAAGTGGTAATGATCATCTGCACTGTTGGTAGACTCCCTTGATGCAGCATTTTGCCATAAATGTTCAGTTTCTAAAAAATATAATATCTGTGAAACACAGTAAGGCAAAGTACAATAAAGCTAGGTATGCCTGTGTATGTGATCTATATGTGCAGTACCCATGAGATAAAATACCCAGCACCCACAGTTAATTGGCTCACAGTTTATAGAGGTTTTGAGATAAGAGATTAAGGCATCACAAAGCTGGCTACGATAGTAGGCATGACCTGTTAACTACATAGATCCTGGAAACATGCACAGAATAATTCCCAAAGCCCTGCAGGTGGATTTCGCTCAAGAACTGGAGCAGGTTTTCAGTAGTGTGGCCTAGACCTGAGGTCAGCCTGAGACGCAAGATCCCAGGACCACCTCTTGGGACACAGAGGAAGTTCTTCCTTAAGATTTGTACAATGCAAAGGGCACAACGAAGCCATGAAGAGTTTGCTATTGTAACTTTCCACAACAGCCCACACTGCATTTCACAGATGCAGCATGTACTTTTATTTTTGTTTTAACCCTCTTTTTCTCTTTACTCAGCTCAAGCTTGTTCTGCAGTTTCTCCCCCACTCTTCACTTTTACTTTCTCAAGTAAACTTTATTACGTTTTTGTTTTTGTTTTTGTTTGTTTTGTTTTTTGCTTGTTACATCCAATTCTTTGAGAGTAGAAGAATCTGGAATCTAACTCCAGAGGGAGAGGCAAGCAACTCAGAATCTGTTAACGTTTAGTTGGCAAGCCACTTTTAGAACTAAGCTAACCGATAAAAAGTTTCTGTCCATCATTGGTTGGCTCCAAGGCAGGATGACATAGCAGAGGGGCATTCAAGAGGAGAAACAGTTCATGGCAGGTGGAAGGCAGCAAGCAGCAAGAAGCAAGCAATAAGCAATAAGCAATAAGCAACAAGTAACAGCAACTGCAGCCCTCTTTCTGTCTCTCATATTTTGTCTAAGCTACCCATTAGGGTAGGTGGCACTCACAAGTTTAATCCTAGCATTGCACTGTGAATAAATCCCAGCATTGCATTCTTGATCCCAGCATTACATAGCCTAGACCCAGCCACCCCTGAAAAGCCCCCACCTATGACTGCATGAGGCTTTGGGGAACATCTAGATAAAAGCCATAACAGGAAGACACTTGATCATGCTGACTGCATACATCAGGAAGACATACCACTTAGAAATATATGTGTACTTAAAAGTAAGCTCAAACTATGAAGCTGACATTTATATTGGCAATAACCCAGGTGAAGAGAGAGAAGGCAGGTTGAGGATATAAGCAAAGGATTAGACCTTAGGGAACATCAACGTGTAAGAGATAAACTGTAGACAAGCATTCTGAGAAGGCACAGAGAGATAAAAGGGAAACCAGAAAGGTGATCTCAGGAAGCCAAAGTGGGGTAGGGAGAGAATGTGATTAACTCAACAACAAATCCTAGAAAACCAGAAAAAAAATGATGAAAAATGATAAGGAAAGGAGATTATCCATCACATGTGATAATTTGAATGTAAAGGTTAACCTTAGGGAAGCAGTTTCAGTGGAATGGTGGGCTGGAGTGGGATTGGTTGGAGATTAAAGTGAGCCAGATTATGTTGGATTAAACTGGAGACTCATCATAGGGAAGTGTGGACAGGGAATGCCTAGACTGTTCCAAGGAGCTTGGTTTTGAAAGGAGAGCAAGATGGTTAGCCAGAGGACAGGAGTTAAACTGGTAGAGATTTTCCAAAAGTGTGTTTTCTTAAAGCTGGAGGCTGGAGGCTGATGACATGTCAGGACAGTGAAAAAGCATGCTTATATGCCAAGGAAATTGTGTGGGTGACTACTCTCCCCTGTCACTCCACTTCCTTGAGAAAGAAGATTTTGCTGCCTCTAGACACTCATCCTTGCTTTGCTGCCTGGAACACTTTCCTTCTTTTTTTTTTGAAACAGGGTCTCACTACGCAGTTGGAACGTTTTCTTGATACTGTGCAGGGCTGGTTCTTCTCTCACAGTGCTCAACCTGAACACCACTTCATCTCACCTGATGAAAGTAGATCCCACAGCCTGTTAGGAGCAACCATAATACACTTATTTCCTCCACATCATCCAGAACAATCTGTACTTATTGGATTCATTTTTGTTCATTGTTTTTCTCCTTTTCTTCAACAAAATGAAAGCGCCATGAAGGCTGGAACCCTACCTGTTTTGTCTCTTTCTTATCCCCCATGTCTAGAACAGTGCTTGACAAGGACCAGAAAAATATGCTTCATAAATGTCTTTTTGGTTTTTTTTCCGGTACCGGGAATTGAACTCATGACCTTGTGCTTGCCAGGCAGACGCTGCACTGCTGAGCTAAATCCCCAGCCCCATATGCTTCATAAATGAGTAAGTTCATCTTTCCAAAATCCAGCTTAAATCCCACCTCCCCACAAATAACAGCTTCGTATGTGTTAAGTACTTATTTTGTTCCAGTAATTACTTATATTGTGTTATCTCATTTAAGGAGGCTCCTCTATTTACCTGCCAAAGCTCACACAGTGGTTATAATCTAGGCCACACAGTGTTTGAAGTTGAAAGTTAGCCTCTTGCTTGTTATTTAATATATCACATGCAACACTCTTCTGGTTCCAAGGAAATAAGAGCTTCGCTGTAGCCAAAGCAAATACAGAAAACTCAAGGTATGCTGAGTAACCAAAGGTCCCCCTAACATGATAGCATAACGAGAATGTCAATACATTATCTGCGTTACATTACAGATAAACATAGCTGAAAATTTAGTTACAGCAGTGAAAACATTTTATTCAGTAATTCTGATGGTAGAGGAAAGGCTCCAGGTGTTATGGTTTATATCTAGATCCTCCTCCCCAAGTGTTATGTGCTCAGTCAGGGCTTTCGAAAGGCAATTAGATCATGGGGGTTCCGGTAAGGGGGTGGGGTTGGGCAAAAAAAGTAGGGCAACGCAAGCACGACCTGGAAGAGTTATCTCCCTCACTGGCTCCTCCCTTGGTTTCTCTGCTTCCTGTCCACCACGCTGTGAGCAGCTCTCTTCTGCCATGCCCCTGCACCATGGTGTCCTACCTTGGAGCCAGCCAAGTATGGACAGAAAGGTAAGCCAAAATAAACCTCTCCTCCCTTTAAATTTTGGGTGTCAGGTATGTTGTTATTTTGTCCCAGCAATTAGGAAACAACTAAGACATAAGGTAACTGGGGCTTTTTTAAAAGAGAAAATAAGGGAACGAGGGAGAGGAATGGCAGGGGCCTTAATCAGAGCCAGGGAAGTGAAAAGCTACAAAAGTGGCAGAGTTGTTGGTGTATGTGAAATCCATCTAGTTTTGCTAACTGACACTTGGAGAAGGCAGACTCCTCTCCTCCCATAGATCTGGGAGACAGGCCCTTGTCTTCAAGTGCACAGGGATGAAAAGCCAATTCTTTTGTCTCCCTCGTTTCCTCAAACAGGCATTTTAAGGGGGACTAGGATGAGGCTTTGAGCTGTTAGAAACTATATTAACATTTGTTCGACTTTTTGTGGGCCAAGAGAGAGACAAAAGAGGCTCTCAGAGGAGCATGGTTAGCATTTGGTCAAGGAGAGAGTCTCTGAACAGAACATCTAACCTGACTTGCAAGTGGACAAACTCCATTCCACCTGTAGGGGTTATCAAAAAAGTTACAGCAAGATAGTTTGAGCTTTGAGGTAGAAATATATGCAGCTTGATTCCCCTTTATCCAGAAGAGTTTGATAAAATCTTAACTTTCTAGAAAGGACTGTCTATTCTGTCAAAAAAAAAAAAAAGGGTCTACAAAACCTAGTTACTTCACATCGAGAAGCCATAGGAGAGGGTTCCTAGTGTGTTAACCGTTGGGTCTTGGAATATCTGCTCTGCGGTGCTGTGGAGTCCCAGCTGGAGCTGCAGCATTGGTAATTTCCACGCACACATGTCCAGGAAGTAGGTTGTGGAATCTGAAGTCTGTAGTTCTGGAGCCTGAAGGGATGAGGGGACCTCTCAGACTCCTTTAGGAGCTTCTGCAACCTGGGAATTCTATTCCACATCTTACCTTACACGCCAGCTACAATCTACTCCTACAAGCTTGGGGCTCAGATCCAAATGAGCACCCCCAATTTCAAGGAGTCCTCATACACAATTAGGAGCAGTCTTCTCTGCTGACAGCCTCTGGGTGTGGCTCCCCACAAGACTGGTAATAAACTGGGAGTCCCCAAGAGCTCTTATTTTCAGCATTCTACCCTGAGTCTTTAAGAGTCACTCCTGAAGTCATCTCAGCCTCTGAATACACGGACCAATGATTTTCTTCTTGGGTTCCACCCTTTAGCAAATGTGTGCAGTCATGAAAATGCCACCCAACCTGTCCCTCCCCACCTGACAGGTGAGCTGGGAGCACCTGTCCTACTGGGTGTGTTTCCTTGGGGACAGCCTCCCTTCTATGAGAGAAGGTGTCTTCTCTTAATTAGACCTTAAACTCCACAGACCCAACTCTTCATTGAAGTAGAATCTGGGTGAGGCTGCATTTTAGCAAGGACTCTGTTTTTTGCTTCTTCAGTGGCCAGGAAGGTAATTGAATGCCATGGTTCTAATGACACACATTTTCCATTCCAGCTGCTTGAAGTTCTGTCACTGATAAATAGTTTAGCAAGTACCTCTTTGGCAGCCACTCGGCTCCCAGGACTGGGCAGCTGGGGTAACCTGTACTTCTCCTACCATGTCAGAGTTCCTATAAATTAAAGAGAACTCTCACCATCTCTAGTTATGTCACAATGGCAGTGGACCGAGTAGACAAAATGTATTGTCATGGTCTTGCAGGACTGATCTCAGCCAAAGACAAGGCCTCACGTCCACTCAAGGGCTCTTATTTAGACACTGGCATTATCTGCAAATGAGTCTGCAGAGTGTATGTCAGTGGTTCCTTTACAAGCAGGGAATAAACGTAAAAAAGTCACAGTGCAAGCCTGCTTTGGGCTCTGCCTTATTTTGTTGTTCGTCGAATATATCAGGAGCCAGAACAAAAATTTGGATCCTGTTCCAATATCTTAAGGATCCCGCCACTACCGAGGGGTGCCGGAAAGGAGCCAGGTGGAAGGAAGCACCTCCAGGCCTCCGGAAGGGGCTCTCAGCGACCCCGAGCGGGGCAGGTCGTGGGCGGGACTTTCTCACCGTGTAGGCTGGCTGTCGCGCAGCCCCGCCCCCCGTAGGAGAGCGTGGGGCGGAGCCGCGGCCGGGAGCGGGTGGGCGGGGCTATCTGCCGGATGGGGCGGGGCCTCGGCCGGATGGGGCGGGCACCGCGAGGCGCGGGCGGCGGGAAGCGGAAGAGCGGCGGGTTGAGCAGGCTGTGTCGTGGGGTGGGGTGTCGTGTCGGCCCCTGAGCGGCCCAGACGAGGCCGCCTGCAGTTCCGTGGCCGGCCAGGCCCGCGTGCTGCGGGCACCCACACAGGAGTGGTGGGAGGGGCGGCCGGCAGGCCCAGTGTCTGTTCCCGCGTTCCTTTTCGCGGCTCCTGCGAGGGTGCAGAGCCCGAGACGGACAGGCCCCCTTCTGTGTCCCAGCGGCGGTGCGGCCGCGCGGTAAAGAGGTTTCAGGGTGCGCCCGCGTGGACGGCCCTGCCCGGAGTGAAGAGCTGTTTAGCTGTTCTGAGGCTGGTATTTTGGGGAAGAGTCGGACGGCTCCAGACGCTGGGCTGGCTTCGCGGCGTTCGGAGGCCTGCCTGGCGCCGCTCCCTGGCCGCGCCAGTGTCGCGCTCGCCTCCCGTCCCCCGGCCCGGTTCTGCGCCTCGTGGCGGCCCTTGACTAAGCAAAGCAGAGCCCCCAGACTGAGCTGAAGTGCATGCCACATCGCAGCCTCTGGATGCAGTCTGAGTCCAGCCGCTGTGACGAGACTCCTTCCCTCTTGTGGGGTTTGGATCCTGTGTTTGTAGCTTTTGCAAAACTCTACATCAGGGATATCCTGGCCATGAAGGAATCCCGCCAAGTCCCAGGTATGTGGCCGGGCAGCCTGGTAGCTCCTCCGTGCTTCGTCTGCGCCCGCTTCCTGCCTAGGGGCTGTCAGGAGGCCGCCCTGCTGTGGGCTTTGAAAACGACCCAGCTTGGACCCTTCTCTGCGATTTTTTTTTTTTTAAATCTATTTTTAAAAAGTAGATGCTTGGGGGAGTAGCCTTTGCGTGGAAGAAGGCTTTTACTGTGTGGAAGGTCCTTCAGATACGCAGTGCTCAGTTGTTTCTCTTAGTGTCTCTGTTGGTGGGAAGATCTCTGGACTGGGCCTTGCTAGGCCTCCCTGTGCCTTTGCCCTCTTTGGGTTCACGTGGCTCACCTGTGAAGCTTGGGTTTCTTCTTTGTAAAAAGGGCGTTATCCTACCTGATTTTGTGAGGATTTGTTTTGCCTTGAAAAGCACTTTGCACGTAGAGGTCCCACAAGAAGCAGCTGTGGGAGTAGGCTCGGTGGTACGTAGCTACTACCCACTGTGTACTGGGTAGGTTGAGGCAGTGAGATCACCAGTTTCAGGCCAGGCTGGGCTACATAATGAGACCTTATCTCAAAAAGCCAAAAGAAAAAGAAACCGCAATTGAAGGAACAAAGCATTATATTTAACGTTAAATCTTTCTTAGGAAAGCAGTGGTTATTAAAGACACCTAAAAGAAACACCTAAACGTACAGCAAATATAATTTGGGGGATAGGTTTGAATAATTCAAGTAGCTGTGGGTGGGTCTTCATGTGTTTACTGCGCTATATGAGGTGTTTGTTTAAACTCTTTACTGAGCGCAGCTTTCTGGTTGTGGGCTTTCTGAGTAGCAAGCTGTGTGTGAGTCAGAAGGAGGAATCTCAAGTATCCACAGTCTGAATGAGATGAGGTTTCCTGTGGTTCTAGTTATATACAAATGTATTTGGATGACCTTCCACCGAAGCCTTCTGTGCAGATTTTTCACCACACCTTTATTTCCTCGTTATTGTTGGACATTGTCTGTTTTTTTCCTTGGAAGGCAGCCAGCCTCCCCCATAGTTTTCCATTTTCCACAACAATCTGGTCTTCTTCATAGCTCATCTCCTCAGGAAGAAATTAATTCACACCAAATGCCAGCTCTGCTTGAAAATCTGTGGGTGAGCAACAAGCGTCAGACAGATGTGGGGGCTTCATTTTTCCTGTAGGCCAAGGATGTTATGATGTGCTAAGACAAATCAGTGAGAACTAGTACTGGTGATCTTTGCATTTTTTTTTTAAAGGAAACCTCATGATTGAAGTAGATATCAACTATAATTTTAGTGATTTTCTTCAGACGCTAGGGTTCAGAGGGGAAAGGAACATTTGTCTAGGTTTTGTTTTGTTGGTTTGGTTTACTTTGGTTTACCATAAAGAGGAAACTTGTAGCTGGGCATGAAAATGGAGGTCTGTAATCCATGCTATTTAAGAGGCTGAGGCAGGAGGACTGCAAATTTGAGGCCAGCCTGGGTTTTTTAGTAAAATCCTGTCTCAAAATTTTAAAAAGCACCAGAGATGTCGACCCCCTCCGCCCCGGGTTCAGTCCCTGCACACAAAGGACACATGTGACAACATAAAATTTAGAAGTGTTTAAACAACAAAAAATCTGAAGACAACAAAGATTATCCAAAAAAATGACAAAATATGAATCCAGTGTTTGCTATGATAAAGAATTCACCTGGCTTTGTCCTGGGTCCTGGGAGATAACCTCTAAATCCTTCAATTTCCTGAGAGAGAGGAGTGTCTTAGTTATTTGTGACAGCTCACCACTGATGCCATACTTGAGTGGGTGCTCATCTGGTGCCTTATGCTGACCCCTTAGTTTCAGGATGGGAACTGTCTGCACCTAAAGATCAGCCTTCCTATTAGATGGTTGGGGTCTGGACCCAAGTTGTATCAGTCTGAACACTTGGAGATTCAGGGAGCTCAGTCATATGGCCATGAGTCAGTCATGCCTACATTATGAAACCTCAATAAAAACTCTGGACAGTGAGGCCTGGGGGTGTGTTCCTGGTTGGTCACCATACACTGGTGTATAAGAGGATGATGTGACTGAGGCCATGAGGTTTCATGTTGGGATGCCCCAGAGCTTGCACTGTGCCATCTCTTCCTTTAGTTGGTCCTTTTTCTACCCTTTATCACAAAACCTCAAGTGTTGTACCTTTCTGAATTCTGTGTGTTCTGGCAGATTATTATACCTAAGGGAGTGAATCATGGGAACCTCCACATTTACAGCCAGTTGGTCAAAAGTGAAGGTTGTCTGAGGGTCCCCACAAAAAGTGGGGTTAGTAACTGAAGTGACAGCAGTCCTGTGGGGGATTGTGCCCTAAATCTGCGAAATTTAACCTAAGTGGGAATTTAGTATTAGAACTGCATTGCAGGATGCCTGCAAAAATGTCATGTCCCTTGGGGCTGGGGATTTAGCTCAGCAGCACAGCACCTTCCTGGCAAGTGCGAGGTCGTAAGTTCGATTCCCGGTACCAAAAAAAAAAAAATGTCATGTCCCTAACACTATGAATTTATGGTTTAAACTAGTAAAACTTTTTTCAGATTTGACTGTAGTGGTGATGATATTTAGGTTTTGGGTTTTGCTTTTTGTATTTTAAAAAAAGCTTTCAATAATAGCTCATAAAACACAGAAATGGTCTTTGTTTTAAAGTCTTAACATGTCAAACTTAGATTGATTTTTTTTAAAAGCTGAGTATTATGAAAAACAAGCTACTTTGTTTTTACCCTGCTCTTATATCACAGACAGCACAGAAAACTGTGACCCCAAAAAGTATAAGGTGTTCTTCCCCCACCAGCAAGCAAGCAGCCAGTTCTGCAGTGGACACCACCTGGGCTTCCTCTGATCTCTGCTTTGACACTGTCTACCTGGAGATGGTGTCAGATCCCACAGACTGAGGGCTCCGTTCCCAAGATACCCTGGTGCTTCTGATGCCAGTCAAAAGCCCTGGTGGTTTTTACTGTGCTTCTGACCATCTGGTGGTAAATCAGGGTTCCCACAAGTGAGCAGCTGACAAGACTGAGTTTATCGTGAAGAGTATCACAGGCTATTGATGGAGAGATGACTAGGAAGGTGAGGGAGAGGTGGCACTGGGCTGCCACCCTCCCCAGATGGGCCACCCTCCTGGGTGCTATCTGGAACCTCTCAGAACCTCACCTTGTGGGGTTTTTATAGAGACTTCATTGCACAGGCATGATGGAAGTGTGGACAGCTGTGTTGAAATGTAGGTGGACAAACTTCCCATGATCCACTGCTAAGAAACTAGTGGGGGAAACCCAGCAAGACCTGTCCATTCAGATTCTTTTTGGCCTCTCTCTGTAATGTTCCTTCTTCCAGGGAGTAGGGCAGGACTGCTCTGCAATGAGGAGGGTCTTAGGACCTACTACTAGACAGGATAGGTATGAGAATTTATGGCCAGCTAAAGGTTAGCAGAATTAGTTTCTATGAGCCAGGCATGGTGGCACACACCTGTAATCCCAGCACTCAGGAGGATGAGGCGAGAGGATGCAGAGAGTTCAAGGCCAGCCTGAGCTACATAGCAAGACCCTGTCTCAAAAAAAAAAGAATTTGTTTCTATGACCTGCGTTGAAGAGAGGTATAAGCCAGGAACCATGGATGAAAACTAAAAAATACACATCATAACACCATGATAACAATCTCTTATTTTTAGATCAATGTACTTACACTCTCTAAGCAAGTGCAATGAAGTAGATGAACCATACAGCCAGCCTCCCATATCCATATGTTCCTCATCCCTAGGTACAACCAATGTAGGGTTGATAATATTTGAAAAAAAGTCTGTGTCTGTGCAGAATTTATACAGCCTTTTTCTTATTAATCCCTAAACAATATAGTATAACAACTACTTACATAGCATTTGTGTTGTATAGGTATAAGTAATGATTTAAAGTACTTGGGAAGACACAGGTAGGTTATGTGCAAGTACTAATGGCAATTTTTTATAAAGACTTGCACATCCTCAGGTTTTTATATCCACACAGAGTTCTGGAACCAATCTCCCATCAACACCCACGACCACTATATTTGTAAGAATTGGATTAATTTTTTTTTTTTTTTTTTGGTTTTTCTCCAGTACCGGGAACCAAACTCACGACCTTGCGCTTGCCAGGCAGGTGCTTTGCCCCTGAGCTAAATCCCCAGCCCGAGAATTGGATTAATATTGATCTGTGTTTGAAAATATTATCTTAGGCATTTTAGTCCTATCAGATTTCAGTGAGACCAATTATAGCAGCAATAAAATAATAGCAATTAAACTGAAAGATATCCATCAAAAGTACTGTCCTTTCAAAAAGAAGTAACAGGTAAATGTCTTGCCATGGTTGTGGATGTCCAAGGTCAGCTGTCTCAAGTCTGCTTTAAACCTACCTGTGACCCTGGGTCCCTGAACCCTCCCAGCTGTCCCTCCTCCTTTGGGGACGTGAGGATCTGGGGATCTCTAGTACATAGAGGCTTCTGTGGGCTACATAGGAAGAGTGGGAGCAGAAAGGCCCCTTGGAAAAGACTGCCATGTGAACTTGCTAGCATTTGTCTGCAGTAACCATTTTCTTTTTAATGTATTTTCATTGGTAGTTATAAATTTTACAGAATATCAGGTTTCAATGTGATGTTTTCATAAATATATGGAACATGTCTTCATGATCATTTTCTTAGCCTGTGGAGCTTTCTGTGGATCTACAGCACTTCTGTCCATCTCCCTTGAGCTTTCTTCTCCTATGAAATATCGTGCTCCGATAGAAGGAAGTGATTCTCTAATTCTTTTTCCATATCTTCTGTCTTTTTGTAGAGGCTGAGTATCTCATTCTTGTGGTGCATGTTTCCATGTACTGTGAGACATCTCTGCTGAATTTGTAAGTAGTGCATTTCCTCCTCCATCAATTTCCTCAGAGATTTTACATTCACACCCTGTATTACTTTCTGCTGCAGTTGTCCTCTCTTGTTTAGTGAGGCTTTGAAGATGTTGCATACTGGGATTGGAAAGATTTCATTGTGTCCTTGAGTGATTGTATGTGTCCTTGAGGGGAAGCTGTGGGGTGGAAGTTTATGAGACCAGAGTGAATTCTTTTTAAAGGAAGTCTACTATGTCCTCAACTGAACACTTGTTCATTGTTTTTTTTTTTTAATTTATTTATTTATTTTTGAGACAGGGTTTCACTGTGTGGTCCAGGCTAGTCTTAAACTCACTATGTAGCCTAGGCTAGCCTCGAACTTGTAGTGATCCTCCTGCCTCAGCCTCGTGAGTGCTGAGATTACAGGCGTGCACCACCATGCTGGGCTATTGTTTTTATTTTTGCCAGGTACAGCATTTGTAGATGACTTAGAGATGTCATGGGCTGTATTATTAGTCCAACCTTCTCTCTCACTGTCTTCTCCAAAGATTTCAGCCCAGGCAGAGCACCTGTGGTCCATCTGTTCTTCCATCTTGAAGGCCTTAAAAGTTCATAGGTTTTCTGTGGATCCCCATTCAATCCCACTTTCTGGATGGGGCAACTCGTCCTTTGGGAGTGACACAGTGACCCCTGTTCCTGCCCTTTTGTGCCCTTGGCATTTTCAGTTCATGGCCTCCGTGGCTGGTTGAGTCTGGCCACCCATGCAGAGTCCTTTGAGAAGTGTGGCTCCACAGAGTCCTAGGCTTGCTTTGGGTATGTTTTCTTCCCTCCGACCACGTCACTCTCCTAGTCTCTCTCTGGCAGACTGAGGCTCAGGGGTTCATTGTCCACACCTGGAACTCTGTGGTGAGTGACTCATCCTCCATCCCTCTGTCCTCTAGCAGAACAAGAGAACCCTCCACAGAGGCCAGTCTGGGCATTCAGGCCCCCCACCCATGGCTTGGAATCCAGAGGCTCTGACCAGGCTCTAACTAGTGAGGGGAGGAGGTGGCCAGATGCCTAAAGTGACCATGGCTTGTTTATAACCCATGTATTTACTTAGAAAGAAAATGGCCATTCAGAAGTATATAACCTGTTCCCGAAAGTACGGAGCCCAGCCATGTTGGGGGAAGAGAGAGGGTGTGAGGGTCCCTCGTGCAGGTGACAGGACCACGGCACATGTCACTTAAGCAGAAATGGGAAGCTCCCAAAAGGAGCCAGGAGCAGAAGGATGGTTTTGCAGGAGCCAGGAAGCCCGGGGACTGCAGGTCAGAATCGGAGACTCGGCTCCTAGGGGTCCTTTTACTGTGTCCCATCCCCAAGTCAGAAAAACTTGGTGTCAATAGTAGGTTCCCTCTTAGGTTTCTCCTCTGGAGGAACTTGCCTGCCAGAACCTCTATTCTACGTTTTGAAAAACAGGGGTTTTTTGGTTTTTTGGTTGGTTTTGGTTTTGTTTTGTGACAGGGTCTTACTATGTAATTCAGGCTGGCCTTGAAATCACTATGCAGCCCAGGTTGACCTTGAACTCATGGCAAGCCTCCTGCCTCAGCCTCCCAAGTGCTAGGATTACAGATGTGTGCCACTATGACCAGTAGAAACATTTTAAAAAGAGAAGTTTCTGACTTGTAATCTGCCAGCCCCAAGGGGTAGCATTTTGCAATCTACACATTATCTTTTTTTTTCTTACAAAGAAAAAAAGGAAGGCTCTCACCAATTCATAGAAACAATGATCTGTTTCTTGGAAAAGCGCTGGTTAAAAAAAAAAGTCCAGAAAGGAGTTCTCATGGTGTCCTTTCTCTTTCCTGTCCTGTGTTGGTCCCATCGTGTGTTGACTGTTTTCAGGCGTAGGGGTCTTCTCGGGGTCCACCTCATGTTCGCACATAGAAAGCCAGTTCACCAAATCTGGCTGAACAACACTAGTTCTCCCTTTTCTGCATGATAAAAACTTACTGGAAATCCAGGCTTTCTGCATCTCACCCGTGAGGAAGAGACCTGTGGACTTCCTGGAACTTGCCATTTGTTGAAGGGCTCTTTGTTAGGGCTGGGATTTCAGCCAGCAGCCTGCCTCTGCTTCTTACATCCGTCACGCCCACCCCCAGGAGACATTCAATGAAGCAGAAAATTAATCACCTATAACTTTGCTTTTTTTAAATTTTAGGTATCTTTTTGTACAATGGGCATCCAATAAAACAGGTAGACATCCTGGGAACTGTCATTGGAATGAGAGAAAGAGATGCTTTCTACAGTTACGGAGGTAAGAGCAATTGGTGTCTGAAACTGAGTTGAGGTACATAGCCCCCATGTAACTAAAGGTTGGGTTTTCAATGGCCCCAGCCTTTCAGAGCTGCTGGGTACCCTCACAAAGCACATCCCTCTGTCGGGAGCCTCTTGGAGCCCCAGGTGTGGACTGAGTGTAAAATGAGACAAGAGGTTGAGTGATACCAATGATACCTTGAAGTGACCGCGGCTGGGGAGTCAGGAGGTGGAAGAATGAAAATACGGCAGTGGAGGATGCGAGATTGATGGGGGACACCTGATACCGGTGAGCACAGCTATAAATAGCAAGGGATGATAATATATGGTTACAGTGATACCTTTGCAAAGAAAGGGCCAGGCTGATGTCAAAGTAGACTCTTCACAAAAACACCAAGGGATGAAAAATAGATGTATATCCTGAACAGTTTTTTTAAAAACCTTTTGGTACTCAGAGGGGTAAATATCCATTATCAGAAAAGTTCCCTTCCCTTCCGATGATGGAAACTATATAAGGGGTTCTATAGTTTAGATACCAGAGAATTGATAGAATGTGATTTTACTGTAGTGGTTCTTGATTGTTTTGTGCTTAACATAAGCATTTTAATATATTGCCTTGTGCAACTTCACAATTCTCTAGTTAAGAGACCAAGTTTGGCACTTGGTGAGAAACTTAACTTTGAATTCCATACCTTTGCTATAATGGGCACTGTCGCTTTTTGTGATGTTGCCTTGGATTTGTATTCTTGCTGGACTTGGAGGGAGATAGAAGGCGTTGGACTTTGTGAGCAAGAATATTTCCTTGGCAGTCTACACATGATTGATAATTATAGATACAGCATCACTGCATTTCTTCAACATTTGTTCATTTTCCTGAAGATGACTGTCTTGTGCTTATAAAATAACATGCGAGAGATGAGCTCTTCCATGCCTTCTGCTTTTTCTCAGTGCATAATCTGGAATAGATCACTTTGTTGTCAGGTGTCTACATACTGACTCTCTTCTCTGCTTTATTTGACCAGAGAGGTTGGTCCTGTTTTTCTCCGTTTCAGTGAAGGCATACCCAGCTGAGGGCAAGTGCACTGCCTATAGTACAATAAAGTACTTCCTCCCCACATACTAGGGGTAAAATAATAGTATCTTTCAGTTTACAAAGCACTTTTACAGTCATCGTTCACCTTATTCTCCCCCTAGTCTTTTGAAATAGAAAGGACAGAAATTATTTACATTCGTAGATGGTAAAAACTGAGGGTCAATAACTGGCTTAAGGCTCTAGTAATGCAGGTTTGTGGGTCCAGTCTCCTGTGATCTCTGCCATCTACACATAACTCGGGATTTTCTCTCTGTCTGTCCCCTTCTCATTCAGGCCCCTATGCACAGATCAGCTGGATCTGGTGTTTAGTTTTCAGTGTTTCAGATCAAAGAGATGAATCTGTTGAAAACCTCAATCCTGGCTCTACAGCCAGGCCAAAATTAGCCTGTGACCTAACAGAGCATTACTTACGCCCTCTTCCCATTATGGAAAGATTTAGGCTGTGTGCTTGACTCTTCCCAAGGAGCCTTTCCCTCTGAGTGGGAGCCAGCAACCCACCACTTCCATGTGTTGCTCGAAGACAGCAAACGTCTAAATGTGGAAGTAATGGAGAACGGAAATGCTCTTGTGACTAATTCTTACCTGGCCTGTTTAAGCAGAGAGCCGCTTCTCTCCCTGCTGTCCTCAGGCCCAGCTCGGCTCTCAGGCCACCTTCCAGGCAGCTCCACCTCGCCACACATTTCACCACAGGCCCATGCTGGGGTTGCATCTGCCCACACTGAACGTCCCAGTCCCCCATAGTGCTGCCCAGCTGGAGAGGCGGCAGGCCTTGGGACCGTGACGTAGGGACTGCTGGGAGAGGTTACAAACCAAGGAATTGGGGTTTGGTGGCAGTGCCCGCAGTGCACAGAGCACCTGGCAGAGCACAAGCTCAGGCTAGAACCTGGGAAGCTCAGATCAAGATCAGGAAGACCTTGTGTTTCCTAGGACAAAAGTTCATGTACTCTAAATCAGCATTTTCAACTGGCCAGAGAAGTTGTGTGCCTAGACATGTCATACCTTCTTTAAATGCAAACACCCTTTGTGATTATTTGCTTCTTAAAATGATACTCACTAGACAATAAAATTTAAAACTAGAGAAAATATTAATGGTATACATACAAGTCATGTGAATGTTATAAATGAGACAAAAACTATGTCAAGACTTTGGATGAACGTTGTTCCTGATATTTGTAACGTGCCACTATTTAAGAAATACAGAAATCCCTTACTTCCTCAGTGCTGTTACACATATGTCCTTTCTTTGTGTGTTTGAAATTAGACTTAAAGTCATTGCATACCTTCAGTGTGGGGTTCCTTCCCCGTACTCTAAAAGAGACTATTAGCACCCAACTTGTAAAAATCATTTATGTTATAATATAGCCTTTGTTTTGCGTAAATTATATGTAAGTCTTCTAAGATATATAAGATTTCTGTTTTACAGTAAAGCACCTATATCTTTTAACAGCAATGAGCATAGATCTCCATTGTGACACTTTATTCTTATATACTGTTATTGTACCTTATTTAATCAGTTCCATAGTTATTAACATGCAGGTTATTTACAGTTTTAAAATTTATCATTATTTACAGTTTTATTGTTTATTTTTATAAACACTACTGCAATGAACAGCCTTACAGGAGATGTATATATCTACATATTCTGTTTTTCTCCTAGGAATAATTTATGGGAAGCAATTGCTAAGTCAAAGGATATATATGTTTCAAAATTTGATGCATGTTTTCAAACTTGCTCTTTAGAAATTTAGTGCTAACCAATACTTCTACTAACAACATGTGCATATCAGTATCTAATAGTTGAGAAGTTATTTAAATTGGCTTTTTTCTATGGTAAGTGATGAATTTAGCATACTGACGTATTTATTGGTCATGCTTGTAGCTTTGGTTAATTGCATATTCTTTTTTTCTTTGCCACTCTTGTGGCTTGCTCTTTTTCTTCTTAAATGGTATGAGCTCTTTATATATTAAGACACTAACCCTATCATTTAGAAAAAGTTGCTATCTTTGTTGGTTTTTAGATCAGCAAGCATTTCAGACTTTAAAAAATGAGTTCTCATTTTTAGGTTGTGCTTAAAAAAGTCTCTCCCCACCAACCAGAAGCCTAAAATATTCACCCACATTTTCTTTAATATAATGAAACACATCTGGAATTATTTTACTATAAGAAGTATGTTGACTTTTTCTTTCAACATAATAAACCAGCAATAAAATATTTTTGCCTTATATTTATTCTATTACATCTGATTTCTTATATTACATGTGACTTTACAACAGTCTACTTGATTTTTTTCTTCTGATTATGAGGCCCACTAGCTGGTGCTTAGTAACCTTGGTTCTGAGTCTGTCACAAATTAGGCAAAGAGAAAATCTCCAAATTCTTCTACAGATATCATGGGAATTGTTTGGCTTGTTTTGTACTAGAAATAAAACAAGCTGAGCCAGTATACCTTTGTTTTGTTTTAAAGAAAAAGAAACAAAAAAACCCAAAAAAACAAAATCAAAAACAATATGATAGAAGGATAGCAATCATTAATACACTGCATATTGTTATCTTTAGATTAGTTACTCAGAGTACAAGATATCAGCATTTAATTGTCCAAACAATATTGGAACAAACCTATCTTTTCAATGAACTGAGAGAAATTAGTAGTACAACTATTTTAACTATCTTTTATATATATTTTTTCTTTTTCTTTTTCCTTCCTTCCTTTTCTCCACTCCCCTAAACCAGTTTCTCTTTCTTTTTGAAGCTTCTTCCCATTTTACCATTATCTATTGAACATTTTGGATCACATTTACTCTTTCAGCTTCTCACACTAGGGAAACAATGTGATGTTTACACATGTGTGTCTGATCTGTTTCAGTTAGGAGTATGGTCTCAAGTTGCATCCATTTACCTATAAAAGTCTCCAGTTGATTTTCTTTATGGCTGAGTAATACTCCTTTATATAAAAAGACCACATCTTTTTTATCCATTCCTCAGTTGATGGGCATTTGGGTTGTTTCCAAGATCTAGCTATTAGAAATTGTGCAGCTGTAAACATGGGTGCACATGTATCTCTGTAGTACAGTGTTTTTAATTCTTCTGGGAAGATACCCAGAAGGGGAATAGCTGGGTCAAATGGGACTGCCAATCCTAGTTTTTTGAAAATCTCCACACTGATTTCCACAGTGGTTGCATCAGTCTGCACTCCCACCAGCAGTGGAAAAGGAGGGTTCCTTTTCCCCACAGCCTCTGCAGCATTTGTTATTGGTTGATTTCTTGATGATAGCCATTCTTTCCAGGGTGAGGTGGAATCTCAGTGTTGTTTTAATTTGCGTCTCAAATGACAAGTGATGTTGAACTTTTTTTCATATATTTATTTGCTGTTTGTATATCTTCATCTGAAAAGTGTGTGTTCATCTCCGATGCCCATTTCTGGGTTGGGTCTTTAAATTTGGAAGGTCTGCCAGGCATGGTGGTGCACGCCTATAATCCCAGCACGCAGGAGGCTGAGGCAGGAGGATCATTGAGAGTTTGAGGCCAGCCTGGGCTACAAAGTGAGCTCAAGGTCAGCCTGAACTACATAGGGAGACCCTGTCTCAAAAAGATAAATTAATTAATTAATTAATTAATTAATTTGGGAGGCCTGATTTTTTTGAGTTATTCATACATTCCTGGTAGTAAACCTTTGTCTGAGGAACAGCTGGCAAGCATTTTTTCCCACATTGTGGGTTGTCTCTTCACTCTGTTGGTGGTTTCTCTTGCTGTGCAAAAGCATTTTAATAAGATGAGATCCCAGTTGTTGATTCTTTGTGATAGTTCCTGTGCAGTCAGGGTTTTGTTCATAAAGTCTGCCTACACTAAGGTCTTCAAGAGTTTTACCTAGTCTATCTTCCAGCAGATTTAATGTTTTCATCTTAATATTTAGATCTTTGATCCATTTTAAATTTAGCTTATTGCACGATGAAAGATATGGGTCCAATTTTAATCTTCAGCATTGTGCAGAGCCAGTTTTTCCAGCACCATTTATTAAAGAGGCTATCTTTCTTCCAGTGAATGTGTTTGGCCTCTTTGTCAAATATAAGGTGGCTGAGTACATCTGGAGTTGTTTCTGCATCTTCTAGTCTGTTCCATTGATCCTTCAGGTCTGTTTTTTTGCCAGTATCATGCTGTTTTTATCACAGTAGCTTTAAGTATAATTTCAAGTCAGGTATTGTGATGCCCCCTTGCCTTGCTCTTGTTGCCCAGAATTACCTTTGCTATTCTGGTCTCTTCTGGTTTCAAATGAATTTTAGGATTGTTTTCTCTAATTCCGTGAGATGTGCTGTTGAATTGCATTAAATCTGTATAAAATTTTGAAAGTATGGCCATTTTGACTGTATTTGTTCTTCCTACCCAAGAACAAGGGCTATCTTTCCATTTTCTGGTATCTGCTTTAATCTCCTTTTTCAGAATACTGTAGCTTTCAAGGTAGAGGTCTTCTACATCTTTTGTTAGATTGATTACTGGGTATTTCATTTTTTTGGATGCTATTGTGAAAGGTATTGTTTCCCTAATTTCTCTGTCAGTGAGTTTGTTATTCATGTATAGGAAGGCTACTGATTTTTGAGTGCTGAGTTTGTATCCAGCTATGCTACTGAATTTGCTGATTAAATCTAAGAGTTTTTTAGTGGCGTTTCTGGAGTCTTGTATGTAGAGTATCATGTCATCTGCAAATAGTGATAATTTAACTTCTTCCTTGCCTGTCATTATTCCTTTCATTTCTTTCTCTTATCTAATTGCCGTGGCTACAGTTTCTTGGACTGTGTTGAATAAGAGTGGAGACAGAGGACATCCTTGTCTCATTCCTGATTTTGGAGTGAAAGCTTTCAGTTTTTATCCATTTACTATGATTGAACCAATATTTTTTGGCAGGATATAATTATTTTCTATTATGAAAATAAAAGTGCCTTTCTACAGTGTACTTGGCTCCCTTTGCACAGAGAAGCCCTGGCCAGAAATGTGGGACCCTTTGACTCGAGATGTCAGGGGCCAGTGAAAGAGAAGTGGTGACCAAAGGCTGTGCCCTCGGTGCTGGTGCCCATCACAGACTGTGTGGTGCTGTCTTGTTTCAAGGTGGGAGGGAAAGGTTGACTTTGTATGCGGGCAGTCATTAGATCTTCGCACACAAGTTCCTGAGGATACCACTTTTAGCAGAGGGGTGTAGATGCGAATCACTAGTACTGTCAAGTAGGGTCAGAGAAGTGTTGGGTGCTTCCCATTGGGCTTGGATATTCCACTCACACGTACATGTGGGCCATTCTGGTGTAGGGCAAGAGATTGGTTTTTAAAGATGGAAAACTTTTGCATGCATACCCACATTGATAGCAACATAATTCATAATAGCTAAATTTTAGAAACAGCCTGTAAGTCTATCAACAGATGAATAGATACAGAAAATGTAGTATTTATGCACAATGGAGTACTGCTGTGTCAGAAAGAACAATACATTTGAATCATTTGTAGGAAAACAGATGCCTCTAGAGACCATGACATTCAGTGCAGTAAATCACATTTACAAACTTAAATACTACATGGCTTCTCTTATAAGAGAATCTCAGTATGTAAACAAATGCAAATAAAAGAATAAGAACAAAGAGAAGGAGACACACACACACACACACACACACACACACACACACACACACACACACACGGAGAGAAAGAGGAAGTGAGAAAGAGAGAAAAGAAATGTTATCATCCACCATGGACAAAGTATCTAAAAGTGTATCTCAATTTAGAGTAAGAATCTTAAGTGTTTTACACTTTTTTGCCCTAGACTGATTGTTAATGCATATGTGTGATAATTAACTTTAGAAGACCTTGTAAGATAAATAATGACTGTAATGCTGGCAAAAAGGGGGCGTGGAGCAGAAGTGGAAAGAAAGAACGGAGATGTGTTATGTGCATACACCAATTCCCGACAATGAATATAATCATTATGTGTTACAAGCACGTACCAATAAAAATCAAAAATATTTTAAAATCACTAGAAAAAAGATGGAAAATTTTGATAAGGGCTTTCCCCATCTAAGTGATTAGAAAACATCATTTTTCAGTGTGGCTGAACGTAACGATAGTCTGTGAGCTCACCAGCTGTGCCCAGATCTCTCGTCTGCCCTTTTCTGTTTTTCTTGCAGTGGACGATAGCACAGGAGTTATAAACTGCATCTGCTGGAAAAAGTCAGACAGCACTGAGTCTTCACCAGGTAATTTTGCTTGCCATGTTCCTTTGCTCTTCACCAGTGGATTTTGTTCAAGGTCGCTCCTTGGAACAGTTATCCGGCTGAACTTCACTTTCGTCCATTAGCCAGTGCAGTGAGGGACTTGAAACACTGCGCACAGGGACGTGTGCTCTGAAAACTGCCCCGGGGTGAGCGATGTGCAGTTGCTTCTCTTTCTCCCATCTCTTTGGTGCTCGTTCCCTCCTGAGACTACAGGAATGTTAAAAGGTTCTCAAGAGTTCCAGCACTCAGTTTTTACTATGCCAGCTATTATGTAAGTCAAGGGCTTTTAGCCTGATTGCCCACCAGGTCATAATCCTTGACCAGAATTTTAAAACTTCTCTTCCCGCTAGCCTCTCTGCTGTGATGGTCCAGATTATCTGAATTTCTAGTATATTAAAATGAGGGCCAGCGATATGGCTCAGCTGCACAATGCCTCCCTGGCAGGTGCAAGGTCCTGAGTTCAATTCCCCAGAAGCCCTCGCCCCCAAAAAATTAAAACGAATACCAAAAATTCAAGATTGTTAGGATGGGATTCCTTTGGAAGTTAGCCACTTGGGAATTAGCCATTAAATGACATAAACCACAAAAGAACTTTAAAATTGTACGTTGAACCCATTGACTATAACTGAAACAGCATTGGGAGTTACTTAAATACATTTTAATATTTTTTGAGTACTTTGTTTTTTTGGTGCTGGGGATTGAACCCAGGGGCACTGTGGTCCTCAGGTCCCTCGCTGTGCTGCCTCCTGCCTCGGTGTGCAGCTGCTTGCTGCTGCACTGAATCGAGCCAGCGTGTGCTGCATTCACCAAGCAGTGGGGCTGCCTGATTTTGGACTTAAACCTCTAGAACAGTCATGGTGAGCCTGTTAGAGACCGATTCCCTAAACTGCAACCCCAAACCCACCTGTTCATCACAAAGTGCCAACATTGCAATTAAACCTGAACACTAAGGTTTTCGTTTAGAAAAAACATCTGCTATCCAATGCTTAGCTCTGGGGCGACGTGGCTGATGTGTGACACAGGGCTGTGCGTGCCCACTGCAGCACACACACCACAGGTTCACGCCACTGCTCTAGAAACTTGTGGTCTGCACCTCCGCAGTTTAACATTTTAACAGATCCACAGATGGGCCAGTAAAGCTTCATTTATGAAAACAGGTGATGAGTGAATCTAGTCTGGGGCTATGGTTTGTGGACCCTCTGTCTTAGGTACTGTTTTAAGAGTTTTCCCAATTAAATTTTTTTAAAGAAATGACATCATCAGAAATATTATGTAAGTCTTATATTTAGTAATTTTTTAGGTCAACGAAATGGCCATTAATACTGAGAGTAAGATTTTCATTCTGTTTTTTTAACACTCAATATATAATTTAATTCTTCCAGTTTTCTCATGCTTTCTTTTTTTTTAAAGACTTTTTAAATGTCAGTAAGTAGATGACTCAATCAATTGCAGAGGGTAGGCTTAATTTAAAAGTACTCTACAACTATGAAGAGAGGGTAAGAGTGTCAGAAAGAAGCCTGCAGATGATTATCATCTTGTTACACATGCAGCCGTGTTTTCAATCACTCCTAACTCGCCCATTCTCTCATGTTAATATAATTACTTAAAGTCTAAAAACTTTCCATTGAAAGGTGGCCAACGAAGACAAAATTTTCTTAACAAAATTTAGGCTAAGCCAAAATCATGTTCCAGTCAGCTAAAGTAGAGGAATATAATATTCACTCTTACAAATGTCACGTTAAATGTACCGCCTGGACTTAGCTTATGAGCAAAGCTAAGAAAGCTTGGCCCTCAATATTAGAATGTTAAAAGGAATGTATCTTGGCACAGACTACCTAAAATGAAGTTCTGTCAGGCTCCAGCCGTCTCATACATTCATTACATCGCATGCCGGAGCCTTCCTGGGGCAGTGTGGCTCTCCCTTTAAATGAGAACTCGGCCTCCTTTGCACAGACATCAGCCTGATAACGTCAGTATTTATTGTCACCTGTGGTCTCTGCCCAGTGGAGGTGAGGCTTATGAACACCCTTAACCCTCACCCTCAGTAGAACAGGGGCTGGGGCCAGGAGCACGGAGGACACAGACTTCCAGGAAGTGGTTCTTGCCTGTTTTCTGAAGGGAAACGCACTGAGCTGTGCAGCGGCTGTGCTGATTGTGTCTGGCTTCCTAGGCGCTGGTTATTGCGTGTGTCCTCCCTGTCTCCCTTCATATGGCACACGTGTTACAGTGAACTCCTTTCACAGGACAAAGGCACAGTCGTCAACATCGTATTAGGGCAGAAAATGTGATCGGAGAAAAGACATCTGCTCCATCTTAGAAGCCCTAGAAGGCAAACCACAAATAATACAATAGGACATAAGTCATGTAACAAAGTCGTTGTTTCAGGGTATCTTAGTTACTTTTCTCATTGCTGAGACAGGATATCTGACACTCAAAATTAGGGGAGGGAAGGTTTATTTAGCTCACTGTTTCTGGAGGTTTCAGTCCATCATCAGCTGGCTCCAAAGCAGAGTGGCACATGGGAGAGGGGCAACAGTTCATGGCAACAGAAGACAGCAAAAGCAACAAGAGACAAAACTTTTTCTGTGCCTTACATTGTATGAAGGCTACCCATGCTATGGCAGGTGTAGCACTTAATGCCAGCATTGTACTATGAATCAATCACACACTCTAGATTCGGCCACCTGCAAAAAAACCCTATGACTGCATGAGGCTTTGAGGGGGACATCTAAACCGTAACACAGGTAGATAACTATTTAAAAAGAGTTCACCATGTTTCCTGTTTTGCAGCCTATATAAAACAACTCAAGGAAGACAGAGTTGTCTGTTTATACCAATAAACGTGTTAAGCTCTCTATGCTCCTGGATGTTAAAGCCCTGAAAATTGTTATCAGTGACAAGATGGATAGAATGAAAAACCGTGATAGAGGGCCAGGGATATAGCTCAGCGGCACAGCACCTGCCTGGCAAGTGTAAGGTCTTGAATTCGATTCCCAGTACCAAAAACAAAATAAAACAAGAGTCAAGATATTTCAAACTTTCATAAATGTGATGAATGAAGTCATATAGAATGAAGTCATATAAATGTGAAAAGCAAGTGGAGCATGGACGGTGTAAGTAATAAGGCTCACTGATAACGTGTCCTGTCATCTAAAAGAAACTAACAAAGCTAAAGACATGAAGGACTTACCCATAAAGAAATAGAGAGTAGATCATCTCATAAGAGAATGGGTCACACAGAGCCTCTCTTACAATTTAAAAGCAAAATAAAACTTTATGGACTCACGTTGTGTTTGTTAAGGAGTTAAAGATCCCAGAAGCAGAAGCTGGTGGATTGTGTATCTTGCCAATGACATTATGTAAAGACTGAGAGGCTTGGTTATTTTTTTCTGGCAGACATTCTGACAATGAGTTATAAACTGTAAACGTAATGAAAGACCTCCAAAGAAAACAAAATAATTTTGTCTAGAGAGCTTCACAAATAGCATGTATTTATCACTCCCTGTGGATCTGGCCTTGGTCAAAGCTCATGATATAAGAGTTAAATAAGATCATACGCATAAAATTAGATCTTACACAGCAACTGTGGTGCAGGGACACTCTATCATTATCCCTATTTCATAGTTGAAGAAACGAAGACTTTAGAGGAGAGGAAAAAAAGAGACAGTGAAGTTAAGTAAGCTGTGCAAGGTTACGCAGCTAGTAAGAGGTGAACTGAGGTTGAAGTCAGGTCCTAGTCAAGGAGCCAAATGCTGACCACTGAGCTGTACTGCCCCCATACGGTGCTAGTGGCACAAATCAAACATTTTTTTAGCCAAGCATGGTGACACACACATGTAATCCCAGCACTAGAGAGGCTGAGGCAGGAGGATCGCTGTGAGTTTGAGGCCAGCCTGGGCTACAAAGTGAGCTCAAGGTCAGCCTGAACTATGTGGCAAGACCCTGTCTCAAAATATGAAAAAAAAAATTTTTTTTAATAGAAAAAGGGAAATACTGAGTGAGACTAGCTCAATTCTCTTAGAATGCTATGCTGTTATTTGAAATGCTGTGTTTTGTAGATTCTATGATACATAATATGTATTTGAAATTACAGTAGGCAGGAAAATGGCATAAAGTCTTTATACTGATCGTACTAACTGTGGGAAGTGAGTGCATGCTGGGAGAAGCAGGAGGGCCCTGCGGCTGGAGAGTGCACGAGTACGCACCGTAGCTGCTGCTCACCGGCCGCTTCTCCACCCTGACTCCTTCCCTCTGCCGTGGGGCCGTAGTGGATAGCAGTGGCTGTGAGATTTAGATGTGCTGATACCCTGGGAAGGCTTTAGTAAATAGCAGCCCTGTGTCCAAACACTCACAGCTGCTCTTAAGTTACACAATTTGCAAGTGAAATTTGAGTGATAAAGATTATTTAGGACTGAGTATGTACTGGTTTCTTTTAACCATGAAGTTGCTTTTAAGGTTGTATTTTAAGTGGTGTGAGAGTGAGTGCATGTGAGGTTGGTCTGGTTTGCCAGGAGTCATGCAAAGGGAGAGGTTAGGACAGTGGTGGCGAACCTATGGCACCTGTGCCACAGCAGGCAAGCAGAGCCCTCTCGTCGGTAATGCCTTGAGTTGTATGAGTTGTTTTTCCTGAAGTAAAACCTCGGTGTTCAGGTTTAATTGCGGTGTCGACGCTTTGTGATAAATAAGAGGGTTTGGGGTTGCAGTTTGGGCACTCAGTCTCTGAAAGGTTTGCTGTCGCTAGATTACAATATCAGAGCCTCGGCAGAACAGGGCTTTGTGCAAACACTTTAGTTGTTTAGCCCAGTCGTCCCCTCAAGCCCAGCTGAGTACGTAGCTGGGCATGGGGCCTTGTGACCAAGCTGTCCATACGTAGGTGGGGCAGAAGGCGTTGAAGCCACCCTGAAGCTCACCCACTTGGCCTTACTCTATACTCTGTCCCCTTCATTCTACTTTGGAATAATTACAGTTACGCCTTTTATTCTGTAGAGTATTTCTAAAGGCTCTGAGGAGCTGCTATACAGAGCAGTTGATTAGAAGGAGAACAAATGCGTTGGTTCCCCCTTTGCTCCTCCCACTGTGATAGAGCGATGGGTTAATGCCTGCCTCCTCCCTGCTGGCCCTCACAGCTGCTCCAAGCTCAGCAAGAGAACTGAGTGTGATTTCAAAACTTGAGAAGCTGCAAGAGGCCATTGAGCAGAGAAGCAGGATAGAAATTGGGGACATTATCCGAATCAGAGGCTACATCCGCACATACAGAGAAGAGCGAGAAATTCATGCCACCATTTATTGTAAGTACAAGATGTTTCTGCCAAATTGGTTTCTATTCTGGGTGTGTGTTCAGTGAACCCTTGTGTAGCTAAAAGTCAAACCTCAAGACTTAACTCTAATGGGGGAAATTATATGGTGTAGATTGCTTTCTTTAGAAAAGCAGCATTTCTTTTTTTTTTTTTTTCTCTGTTTTTTGAGACAGGATCTCACTATGTAGTTTAGGCCAGTCTGGAACTCTCAGTGATCCTCCTGCCTCAGCCTCCTGTGTGCTGGGATTACAGATGTGTACCATCACACCCAGTTTAGACTATTTTGGGGGGTATTGCTGGGAATTGAACCCAGGGTCCTGTACATGCCAAGCAGGCAGTCTACCATGGAGCTATCGCCCCAGATCCCAGCATTTTTTAACTTCATTTTGAAGAAAGCTAATTATAAGTAAGCTGGGAAAGAAAGTGAATTACTGACTATATCTAGTTTGCAAGTTTTTTTGGTACCTTGAAGTTTTAAGTGTCAGTCCACTCAGATAGATTGTTCATATCCATCAAAATGATGGAAGTTTCTTGAGCACCATTAGGCCCTTCGCTTTAGGTGAAGAAAACAGCTTATCACAAATGGGACAGTCCCACATCAGCTCCCCTGTGCATTGTGCTGGGTGATGCTCAGCTGGAAATGTCAAGGGCAGTTCCGTTGTGTACCAGCGTCACAGAGGAGCCGTGGCCCTGCTGCACCTTCCTGGTCCCCACCCACTCTGTGTAACTCCTGAGGCTCAGGGCATTGCCTTCCCTCTCCAAGGGTAACTGGAACCATCGGGTACATCTAGACTGCTGCCCCTACGGTGATTTGCACTGGGAAAGCCCTGATCGTAGTGTAATCTCTGGCATCTCTCTCCTGGGATTTGTTAGATAAAGTGGATGACCCGATGTGGAACATTCAAATTGCAAGAATGCTTGAGCTGCCTGATCTCTACAGGAGAGTGTATGACCAGCCCTTCCACATCCCGGCCCTAGAGCAAGAAGAGGCAAGCAGGTACATTACACTCCGTCCCTGCCCAAGATGTGCAGGAGAGCCGGGCAGCAGCAGCTTGGAAGCTGGGATTCGCCTGGGCTCAGATCCAGAAGACTTGAGCACTATGGAGCTCTTGACCCTCTGTGAGCCTCAGTTTCCTCAGCTGCACAGTGAGGATGCCTACCAAAAAGGAAGAGAGTTTTCTCATCTGCATAGTGAGGGTGGTACAATTGTCCTGGGGTCATTGCGAGGGGAATATGTGTGTCATTAACGGTACTGACAGCTTTCCCATTGCTGGGCCAAAGTACCTGACACAACTTAAAGAAGGAGCGATTTATTTTGGCTCTCGGTTTCTGGCCCCAAAGCAGAAACAGCACAGTTGGAGGGGCAGGGCAGAGGAAGGCTGCTCACCCCATGGCGGCCAGGAAGCAGAGAGAGGGCAGGAGTCAGGGATGCGAACACACTCTTCCAAGCCCCGCCTCCAGTGACCCACGCCGTCCAGCCAGGCCCCACTTCCAAACTTGAGGCTTTGGGCACACACTTTAGATCTGACCCATAACAGAGTAGAAGGGACGCACAGGAAAAGTACTGAAAGAAATAATGGGAGGCACTTTTCCATGTTGGAGGAAAACTCTACAGACTCGGGGCAAGAGACAGGAAGAAAACTAGTGAGGCACATCACAAACGGACACTGTACCCGAACATGCCATAACCAAAGCCTGCAGAACAGAGCAGAGCCGCCAGCAACAGCAAACAGCACTTCTCCTCCAGTGGGTGAGACCAAAGCCAGCCCAACGCAGGAGGAGTGATAGGTGGAATTCGCTGGTACGTGGGAAGCGATCCCAAGGATGGGAACATTGGCCCCCCAGGGGTACAGGCTGGAGGGCTAGGATGGGAGAAGGACAGAAAGGGAGTTTTAAATGTGCCCTCTTTAATTTAAAAAAAAAATTTTTTTCTTGCAGTTCTAGGGATGGAACCCAGGCCCTTCACATCCTAGGCAAGTGCTATACCACTGAGCTACATCCCTAGCCCTCCTTTGAATTTTTAAAAATGTGACTGTGTTACATATCCAGGAAATTTTTTATGAAGTATAACTGGTAGACCTTTATAAAACAAAAAGTGGGGGCTGGGGATTTAGCTCAGCGGCAAAAGCACCTGCCTGGCAAGCGCAAGGTCGTGAGTTCAGTTCCCAGTACCGGGGGAAAAAAAAAAAAAAAAAATTAGAAATTAAAACAAAAAGTGGCAATTGTCCCCTCCCCAGAGGTTACCCCTGCTCCAGGCTGCCGTGTCTCCCTGTGGGTTCATTTCTTCTTGCAGAGGGGTACTGAGGATTGAACCCAGGGCCTTCGCACTGAGCTACATCCCTTTTTATTTTTTGCATAGAGACAGGATCTTGCTAAATTGCCCAGGCTGAGTGCAAACTTGTAATCTGCCTCAGTCTCCCAGAGTGCTAGGTGTACAGGCGTTCACTACCACACCCAGCTCTGCTTTTTTTTCTTAATCTATCATGAATATCTCTGTTAGTTCTTACAGTTCTCTCTCATCATTTTAAACCAACATCTTCACTGTATGAGCTACCCTTGATGTCAGAAACAAGCACCAGCATAGTATTGCATCTGGTACTGCAACATGACGTTGCATTTCTAGCTAACTTCCTATCATGCCTACCAAAAAAGAAAGAGAGGTGATGGTTTTCTGCAGGGCTTTTAAAAACTTTCCCCCACCAGCAACCCAGGTGCCCTGGACGTTACCAGTCTCACATGTTTGCTGAGTGAAAAAGTCAAAGAATTCCTCCTGGAGAAGAAAGTGCAAACCTTCTACCAGCAGGAGTTGGAAGCCGTGGCCTCCTTGCTGTCCCTCGCCAGTCAGCCCGTGATGCATGGCGCCTGCTCCAGCCAAGTGAGTGTGGTGTGCTCACCTGAAAATGTGAGTCCTGCGGCCAAAGGTTTGTGGGTGACCGTGACTGGTGTAAAGACACAGGGTGGACCCAAGGAACGTAAGTCACGGTTCTGACATACGTTGTTTCTATTTTGGAAAGGTCACTGGCCATGAAGAGCTTAAAAAGAGGGAGACCTGCCCTTTGCTCCTCCCTGCTTAATCTCATTGCACTTGGTCTTCGAGCAGAACACTAGTAACAGGCTTGGGTCTGGCTGTCAGTCCTCACTGAGAGGGTATTGCACCTCAGCCAGAGCCCAGCGACGGGAGGTGGCTGAGAGGTTCACCTCCCTCCACGTTACTGATCCACAGGGTGATTTGTGAACTGGAACCAGGGTTTTTGATGATGTTCCCTTTTCTTCAGGATAAGGCTAGTCTGTCATGTTTTGGAGTCTATTATTAAATAGAGATCCAATTGTATTCCGTCTGATTTATAAGTAAAAGCCTTGGAATACTGAAGTTAATTTCTGTTTTATTGGTTTTTTTTTTTTTAACCTCTAGTGTTACAGGCAAACATTTTTAGTTGTTCGGTGTTTATTTGCTTGAAATTAAGAATTATTGGAGACTTTGGTTTTAGCTTGCCTTTTGCTCATGCTTAAGTTTGTTGTTATTGTGATAGCTCGTATTTATTTTAAAATAAATAAACATAACTTCCTTCCCCTCCCCCAGTTACCTGTTCTGGTTGCCACTTGCCCCTCCAGCCTGTTACTTTTGTATCTGTGATGTCACTCTGCTCCATCATAGTTTGATACCTGTGAGGTCAGAGGCCTTGTCTGTCTTGTTCTTTGTTTTCTACCCAGGCAGGGCCTCAAGCAGGGCAGGAGAAAGCAAGTTCTTGGTAATTATTTGATTGAAGAAATGAATACTTATAAAAACTCAAATGGTTCCCCAAAGGAGGTAGTTAAAAATAGGTGTCCTTCCCATCCTTCCTCCCATCTTGTCCCTGTCCCCAGAGACAAGTCCACTGTCAGCTCCTGAATGTGCTTGTGGAGACAGTGTGTGCATATGGACACCGTGTATATGGTACCCAGTTGGCAGCATGCTACTGAACCCTAGAAGAGGCCCAGCTGTTCCCTGAGCAGCACCTCTGCACTGTAGATCCTTTCCTGGTAATATATGTAGATTTGCCACCATGGAATAACCCAGCGACTGGTTAGCGTATATAACCAGTCTCTCTGTCCCTGGGCTTGTCAGATGTTTGCTAGTCTTCCATTACCAGCAGGGCTACTGTGTGTGAACACTCTCGCTAAGAAACCTAAGTTACACTTTGTGGTACTGGTAGAGCAGCTCCCAGGTCACCCTCCTGGCCTCCTAGGCATGGCCACTGCTTCTCAGGTGTGCTCACACACCTAATTGCCTCTTCCTGACAACAGGATCATGTGCCTAGTGACCCAGGATTTCGTGGGGGAAATGAGGAATAGCATTTCAGAAAACCTAGGTGGAGAAGGTCACAACTGGGCGCTTTGCAATTTGCCGAGGTCACTCTACACAGTCCCAGCTTCCCAGCTGTCCACTGACAAGAGAGTGACCTTTCCACTTAACCATGCAGAGGAGGCTCAAAGCCAGATTGACCTCCCCTTCTGATGACTGCCCACATGCTTACAAGGAAACTAGCGCTTAGGGAAGCTCACATTCTTCCCACGAAGCCAGTTCCTCTGTGCTAGCTATAATTAAGCAGGGAGACAGAAGGACACTTTAAGGACTGAGTAGCGCCTCCACTTGAAATGATCTGTGAGGAAGTCCTGAGCTGATAGCTTTTTCAAAATGCTTACAGCAGAGAATTGTATCTGCCCGGCGCTGCGTGTTTAAAAGGGAATGGCTGTGGCACTGGATTTGCTTTATCTTTGGAGATGATTTTTTCCATCAATTATGAATAAGTCTGTCACATTGCTGTGGTTGGAGAGGTTGGTGTCATTACATTTGATCCATTTAATAAAGCCCTGGGAGACTGAACATGCTCACAGTGATGGTGGAACCTGAGAGCCTCTGGCACTTTGTATTGTCGAGCTTAACAAAAAGTCACTGTGATGGTGTCATAGATTTTAGAGGAGGAGAGTTGTTTGAATGTTTCTCCCTTTGTTCTTTTTCCATCTAGCCCCTTCTTAGCAAATCCAGAAACACGATAAGCAGATCTTGCAAAACCATTGTTTCCTTTGACAGCTGGATGAATGTGGTTTTTGTGTGGGAGGGAAGACTATATATATTTCAGGGAGCTGCCCAGTTCTTGACCTGAGCCCAGCTTGGCTCGTTCAAGCAGTTGCTGTTTCAGTCTTTGAGCAGTTTTGGTTTCCTGACCTGGATGAGTCTGTCACTGCTCTTTTGAGAACAAGAAGAAAAACACAGATCCCAGTCCAGGAGGAGCTGCTGGCATTTTGGAAGAGGGAACTAGAAGTCTTCCCCTGGAGTCTGCCAGTCTTTAAACCAAGCCAGGAAACATGTCCCGAGGTCAGCTGAGGCCGAGGTTTCTGGAAAGGAAACTTCACACATTGTTTATATTTGCTGAGAGCCTTTCTATTGAGCCCTCCTTGTTCACAGCTAAACTGCTTTTCGTCTCACAGGCCTGCACGCTCTCTCCTTGCCACTTGGTCTTACAGAAGAAAGGAGCAAATGTGTACACAGTAGTTCAACACGAGAGTTGCAGATTTTCCGCTCCCTATCACTGCATTAAACAAACAAATCCCGACTAAAGTATGGAACAATTAGCAAGCTTAGTTCTACCAGAGAAACTTACTCTCCTTACGTACCATCCGCTTAGCTGGCACACATGTGGATCTTTCTTGACTCAGCAGATTAGAAGCTTGTTAGGTGGATTCATAAACCAGTTAGTCTGGGGAATTGTTCTGAGGTGCTGTAAGGTGGAACTTACTTCTCTTCTTTTTTTTTCTTCCTTTTTCCTCTCCAGGTGGAACTTAAGAACAACACCAGTTCCAAGGCCATTCATAGTATATTTAAGAATGCTATACAGCTGCTGCAGGAAAAAGGACTCGTTTTCCAGAAAAATGGTGGTTTTGATAACCTGTACTATGTGAGACTCATAACTTAATTTTTTCCTTTATGGCTTCAATTACAAACACACTGTTACTAATGAATACCTACTGTTTTTTAAAAATTAGTAGGTGGCACATAAAGTGAGAAGTGAAAATTAGCCTTACCTCTCTGCAGGGTACCTCTTCAAACCATACGTCCTTCCAGACATGTATCGGTACCTTCACATGTGCACACGTACATACGCTCCTGTGGCTCTTTTGTTTTATAAAAAATGTGGTCCTCTTCTAAATAAGGACTTGTGCGCCTCAGCACTAGTGGGCCAGGTGCCTGTTTGCCGGGGAACTGTCCCGTGCCTTGTAGGACATGTAGAGTATCCATGTCCTTCACTCACTAGATGTCAGTGGTGCCTCTCCCATTGTGACAGTCAGAAACGTCCCTGGACATAGCTAAGTGCTCCCTGGGGCATCTGAGAGCCATTGCTCTCTATCTACGGCATACCCCCCTGAACGCGCCTGATCTCGTCTTGGAAGCTAAGCAGGGTCAGGCCTGATTAGTACTTGGATGGGAGAACCATTGCTCTAAATAATGCTCAGTGGCTTTTCTTGATACTAAAATAGCAAATCACAGGCACGTTTCCACACTCATACTTAGGAATCCACCTCATTCTTTTTGATGTCCTCATGGTAGTTCACAGTAAGGCTACTTACCAGACATATTTTAGCCTTTCTTTTCAATGGACTGTCATGGTTTTCCCAACTTCTGCTGTTACAGACAGTGTTGCATCGGCCCTTTTCATGCAGCTGTCTTGGTGAGCTCATGTACTATTTCTGTAAGACTGACTTGAGGGAACATTTCATGTGTGTTGAAGCTTCCACTGGCGCAGTCCAATGGGCCTCCCAAAGGCCGTGCCCACTGCCTCCCCGCCATGTACCTAAACCGGACACCCCTCTTCCTCATTCTTCCCCAGTTACAATTTGCCTCTTGCTGCAACCCCTTCACCTTGGGGGAGCCCGGCTGGAAACAAGTCTCTTTGAGACACCGAGGTCAGCAGCATAAATGTGGCTTCAGGAAAGTGAGTCGTCTCTGTGGTCAGATCTGTCTAGCTAGATTCCCATGGGTAAGGAAGGTTTCCTGAATAGTACACTTCCTGCTGTTCATTTGCTCTCGACATTCTGAATCCGAGGCCTTTTCAGTGCTGTTGGTAGCCTCTGGAGGAATGGGAAGGTGCATGGGGTTGGCTGGGGTTGTCAGGCCCGCAGGGTGGCTCAGCTCTACCTCGGCACACATACCTGTCCCCCAGGCTCTGGGCCAGCGTCTGTAGAGGGCAGCTGTTCCTGGGGAGCTGCAGAGCCACAGGCAGCCACCAGGGGTAAGGCGGGGCAGGGCTGGACACTTCCTCCTGTGACTCACTCTGGATTGGAATGGGGTGATCAGGCAGGAGCAGGCCTCCTGCCCGCTTCCCCGACTTCACTGCTCCCCTCCCACTCACTGTGCGCCTCACAGGTCTCTCTCTGGAGACCAGGCTCAGGGAGGTGGTTCTCACAGCAAGGGCAGGGCTCCTATTTGGCTGATGCTTTCCAGCTTGGAGCAGCTGACACACATGGCCTCTTTTTTTTCAACAGCAGGAATTGAACCCAGGTTCTTCACACTGAGCTACATCCACAGTGCTTTTTAAAACATTTTGAGATAAGGTCTTGCTAAGTTGCCACAGCCCAGGCTTGAACTTGAGATCTTTCTGCCTCAGCCTCCCAGAGTGCTGGGATTACAGGCCCAGCTTCACACACCTTACCTTGTTTAACTTTCCCATTGAGACATGAGTTGAGACAAGGCAGGCCCCAGGCATTCGTGGCTGTCTCTGCAGTGGGAACTACGGTTGTGTGTTTGCACGGATGGTTTCTTCCTTTCTTCCCTCCTCTTTCCCCTTCCTTCTCTCCTTCCTCTTTTCCTTTCCTTTTCTCTTTTATGCTTTCAGACTTGCTGCTGAACATGAAAGTGAAATCCACTTGGTTGCTGCTTACCTCTCACCTGAAATGGTTGAGAAAGAAACATGGTTGGTTTTATCTGCCTTTGAGAGCAGACAGTGTTTCTGTGAATGGGCTCAACTTAATCTCTTGTTAGCTTTTCCCTGCAGTTGTGGGGATTGGAGGCGTTGGTCACTTGTGCCCCCTCAGAATTATAGCAACAAATGAGAGACATGGGAATGTTGTGAATGTTTAAGAAGAAAGTTTCTCAGACATACTGAACTCCGGTTTTCCTTAACCGCGTGGCCCCCAGTGAACCAGCTCCGGAGGGTGTGTCCCCTGGGCTGACTCAGGCGGCCTCTTGCTGGGGACAGAACTGGTTCGACATAGGCAGCCAAATGCTCTACCTGAACTGGTTTGACACAGGCATACTGTCAAAAAGTCACATCGTTGGTATAGGGAGATGATTGTTAAGAAATCTTAGAAACTTTCCTAAATGCTAATTTAGGAGTCTGGGCGATATAATTGTTGTGTTCCCTAAGAACCTTCTCTCTTGGAACTCTTTCCTATTTAGGTAACCAGAGAAGACAAAGACCTGCACAGAAAGATCCACCGTATCATCCAAGAAGACTGCCAGAAGCCAAGCCGTAAGTGGTGTAATATGCCCGCCACGCACTGGTGCACTGGAAGGGCCACTCCCTTCTGGAGAACCCTGGATGGAGAATCCAGAGACCAGGACTTTTTCCAGTAGTGACCTGTTGAAGTGACGGTCAGGACACCCATGTTCTCTGAGCCATTTCCACCCCTTTACAGTGAGCTTAGGCCAGCACAGTAGTTTGGACCTTGCCTGCAAATAAGGTTTAACTCGGAGAGCTTCTAAACATGCTTCTCATTCCAATAGGATGGGCTGGGGCTGGGGATTTAGCTCAGTGGCAAAGTGCCTGCCTGGGAAGCGCAAGGTCGTGAGTTCAATTCCTGGTACCGGAAGAAAAAACCAAAACAAACAAACAAACCAATAGGATGGGCTGGGGACTCAGCGGGTGAGCCCCAGGTAGGTGTGATTCTGTATGGTCAGCCCCTACACCAGGACTTTGTGGTCATGTTCTGGTTCTTGGGTTCTAAGTTGTCTTATTTCCTGTTGGTGCTTGCCCCTGGTCTCTGAACATAAACATGATCTTCCTTCTCTGCAAACATCGAGGCCTCTCCGTGTTGAAAGGAATGGGTCTAGACATTACAGTATGTGAATGATACGATGCAGTCATCTTGGAAGCTGGTCATTTGCAAAAGAAATGACTTAGAACATAGTTGGCCTTAGTGGCGTTAGGTCAGCCCCTAGTGGGGAGATACTCAAACTACAAGTCACAATGAGCAGGAGCCATTTTCACACTGGTTAGAGAGAAGGTAGCATTAGTCCTGTCTTTAAATCCCATGTACGGTGGTCAACTTTCAAAGTGACTTCAGAGTCCACCTTTTACAAGCATATGCTAACGGTGAATGGCTACTTAGGTAAAGACATGATGCTAGAACTGTAAAGCATTGCTGCTGACCCTAGGTCCCCAGGCCTGCTTTCTTTATCCCCAGGAAAATCCACCTGTAATCCCTTCAGCTTGGGTATCCCTGGGGCCTGAACCAGGTCCAGGCTGAGCCCACAGGTGGAGTGGACCAGCCCTTCTGCGCTGCTGTCAGAGAGCTGGTGAGGTCAGAACCCAAAAGAGTGCACAGCAGGTCCTACATCAATCTGGTTTTTTTTGTTGGTTTTTTTTGGTACCAGGAATTGAACTCACGACCTAGCGCTTGGCAGGCAGGCGCTTGTGCCACTAAGCTATATCCATGGCCCCATCAATCTGATTTTAATGCAGCCATGTGACTCTTGTTCACTGCAGTCAGGACAGTGAGAAGGAGCGGCCTTCCACTGAGGAGGAAGCCAGTCTACTGCTCCTTAGGGTGCAGTGGGAGTGCTCAGCCAGCAGGGGAGAAGGTGCTCCTGAGCTGTCATTCCTTGCCGCGCTCCCAGTCCCAGGCACCCTGGCCACAGCCACGTCCTCGTTTGCTCTGCGCTGGGAACGTCATCTCTAACAGCCTTGGCGACCCGAGAAGCGGTAGATGCCCACCCATAGGTCAGCGCCCCCCGGGTGGGAGCGCATGTTGGGGTGAGCAGGCCCTGCCGTTCTGCTGTGCATGGGAGCCTCTAAAAGCCGCGAGCCACTCACCTGGCCCTGACTCCCAGGAGCAGGATTCTGGAGCACAAGTAAGGGGCTCTCTCAGCCTTGGTTTCAGTCACTCCTCTCCATAATGCCATAGCCTGTGGCATTAAACAGCATTCCGAGTAATAATACATGCTCATTATTAAAAATCAAGCAGTGTGACACTAGAGAGGAAAAAGCCAGAGCCCTCCTCAGCGCTGTGCTCCCGTCTGCACAGCGCGGCCGTCGCCAGTTCTCCCCGCCCTTCCAGAGATGGCGTCAGCGCTTGCAGACCTACCTGTACAGTGGGTCCTTTTTAAAAAGCACAGATAGAATTTAGCCTCGGCACCCGGGTTCTGCACCCTGGGTCTGGCCCCCAGCTGTGGCTTTGGAGCTATTGGCAGCGGCACTGGCCATGTGCCAGGGCTCAGCCCTCTCATTGGCGTGCAGTGCTCCCTCGTGTGTCCAGAGAGCTCTGGCCGCCGCCTCACCATTCCCGCCGGCCGCTCGTGCCGACCTTCGTCCTCGTCAGGTGACTCCTGGGCAGACTTCAGCTCTCCAGGCTTCAGTGGGCGGAGCTGAGCCTACATGAAGGAACGAGTTGAGCACAGCAAGCCCGTTAGGGCCTTGGAGGACCACAGGGGTCTGTCTGAAGGGGGGCGCCGTGTGGCATCCGGAGGAGCTGGGCTCTGTGGGTGCCCAGTTCCAGCCCCGTCTTGCAGGCCACTCTAGCCGTGTCACTTTGGGCGAGCCTGCGCCTCAGCACCTCCAAATGCACGGTGAGGACAGTACTGGCGCCTACCTAGCAGCTGCCAGCAGGAGTCGGTGAACTGGTGTTTGCAAAGCACACGTCATTAGGGCCACTGAAGGGCAGGGAAAACGGAGCTCATTTCCCGGTGGTGCCAGTGACACCCCCTCTCCCCCGGCCTGGTCTGTGAAAGCTCACGTGTGCTCTCTGCCGCTGGGTTAGCAGTGATCTGGAAGGCGCCATATTAAATGCAGTCAGCGTGTGGAGTTAATGCTATTGTTGGGTTAAAAGTTTTTAAATATATATGGATTTCGGTTTTAAGTATGAACACAACAAATGGCAAATTATACAGAAAGAATGAATTCTACTCTGAAGATGGCTTTCTATCCCCAACTTTTTATTCTGAAAATGTCCCAACCTCTGGAATAAATGAAAGCCTTGTATGACAGACCTCACCGCAAGCCCCAGCGTGTTCCCTGGCGTAGGGCTGTTCTCCCAGAAGCTCACCGTGGCTCTTTCCCACCCAGGCAGATGACTATCCGAAGGTTCTAGCCCGGCAGCGTCTCACTGGACGTTACTTTATGACGTTTGTTTTTCACCGAGTTCCCTGTATCTAGCTGGGGTTCATTCTGTGCCTGTGACATATACTCTCTGACACTCCTGTTAGAATAATTTTTCCTAGCCTTTTGTAGTAAGTAGATTATATATGAGATTGATTTCTTTCCTTTTTTTCCCCGATATTAGGGATTGAGGCCACGGCCTGCACACTGAGCTGTATTCCCAACTTTGCTCCCCTATTTTGAAACAGGGTCTTGCTATGTACCACACCCGGCTTGAGGTTTAATATGAGTTGGGTCTGTTGGAAACCTGGTTTGGATTTCTGGTGGAGGTAGGGCCCAAACACGGCTTTCTGCAAAAGTGCCTGGAAAACCTAAGGCTCAGGTATCATTGCCCTGGGAGGTTCCTTGTGAGCCCCCCACGCCGCCGGGCAGTGCCTTGTAGAAAAGTCTGCTGCTGCTGGAGGGTTATCCTGTGAAGCGCTGGGTGGCGCTGACAGCTGCGGAGTGGCCTGCTGGCTTTTGCTCCTTATCCTGTTCTCTAGCAATCACTCACATGAGGAAGAGCCTAGGCCTTGGTCCCAGGAGGCTGGAAATGGCTTTTTGCACACCCTCACCAGGTCACCCTCGGGCAGCTGGCCCGCTGCCCAGAGCCCACAGGTGCCGGAGACTCCTCTCCCTTCGCCCAAGCACCCGGGCTCGGAAACTGAGGTTGGAGCTGAGTCTCACTGACTGTCCGAGGCACACAGCAGGCTTGGGAGAGACCTTTCTGTCCTGTGTCAGGAGTGCACCCAGCTTAGCTCGCTCCAGCTTTTCTCCGAGAGCCAGTGCCCCGGGGAAGGGCTGCAGCTTCTTTTTCCCTTGTGGCACCAGGGGTTGAGAGCGGGGCCTTTGCACTGAGCTGTATCCCTAGCCCTGTTTGTTTGGAGAGAGGATCACACTAGTTGTGCAGGCTGGGCTCAAGCTGCCGGTCCTCCTGCCTCAGCTTCCCCGAGTGCTGGATGGCAAGCGCATGCCACCTCGCCCGGCTGAGCTAGAGTTTCTGTAGAGGACACGGGCTGTGCCTCTGGTTGTGGGAGTCGTAGTGGTTCCCCAAGTGAGAAGCAACAGCTACGGGTCTCCTTTCATCCACACAACCACCAGTGAGGTAGGTGGCTTTGTCGGAGAAGCCGCTTTGCCCCAGACGTGGAGACGGGAATGCCCTTGGGTATGGGGCCTGCGGCAGCTCTGCATCACCATGCAGCGCTGCACACCAGTAGGTGTCAGCAAATCTAGCCGGTGACTGTTCAAACAGCTGGCAGCTGTGGAGAGCGGCGAACCAGTCAGGGCGCGTAATGAGCGTTCGCAGCCACTAGAGGTCGCAATTTCGTGCCTCTTCGTTATTCTGGTAGCAGCCTGTGGAGCGTAGCGCAGGCCTGGATCTCAGAGGCATCCAGTTCCCCAGCCACAGGGGAGCAAACAGGCTTGCGGGTGCTGTGGTTTGCTCAGAGCCACAGCGGTGCACTGAACGTCACACAGTGCGTTACCCAACACCACAGCGCCTCTGTGAGCCCATCCTGCACTTGCAGCATTTATCGTCGGAAACCAGCGCGCACCGCCTGTGGAGCGGCTTGTGGGTGTGAGGTGCTGCGCACCCAGCCCAGCCTGGAGCCCTCACGTGTGGAAGCGGGGATGGCTTGCCGTAAGAATGAGGTTCAATTTTGACTCAGTTAGAAATACGTCTTACGTCATAATCCAATACTCACATAAAGCTGATGCATAAGACACATACATGAAACGAGGTCCCCAAATAATACTCATCCTAGTTATTCTGCAGTACATTCTGCAGTCTTTTATTCTAGCCCATCTTAATCTGCTTGGTAAGAAGAAGAATGCCAGCTGCTCATGTCCGCACACGCCCGTAACCCCAGCACCTTGAGAGGGTCATGAATTCAAGGCCATCTCGGAACACAGCAAGACCTTGTCTCAAAGAAAAAGTACTGATCACAAACCATGAAAATTGATTTCACGGTCCCCTAGTGGTCATGACCCAGCACGGAAACCACTGCTCTAAGTCATTGCTTTTGGCAGGGAAGCGGTTGCCGATCCTCAGCTTTGTGACTGCCTGCCAAACAGTCTTAGTTTTGGGGACAGAGTAAGAGATCGCTGGAAGCCAGGCGAGGAGGCAGGGGAACAGGGCAAAGGCGGGAAGAAACCCTCCTCCCCATGGCAGCCCCGTCAGACCAGACCTCTGAGAAGGCTGTGCTCCACTGCGGCTCTCCAGAGGGCTGTTGCCGGCCGCCCAGAGGCAGAGCGCTGAGCGTGTGCACTTACACCTGTAGTTGTGCAAGAGAACAAAGATTTTCAAGAACTAAACCCCACTGGGTGGTGGGTGTAGAATTACTACGTGGGAATCCTTGAAGGTTGGAGGTCAGAGCCTCACAGCAGCAGGGTCATGCCACGTGGTGGCATCAGGGGCCTGAGGAGGATTTTTGGATTTGTTTTTGAGCTCTCTAGACCAGTGTGCTTCTGACTTTACTGTACATCAGAATCGCCTGGGGATCATGCCGCGGTGCAGGTGCGGTTCCGGGACTCCGGAGAGGGAGAGGACAGAGCAGGGGCTGGCAGTCGTGTCCACACTTACCCACCTGCCTTTCCCCCACAGACATGGAGAAGGGCTGCCACTTCCGGCACATCTTGGCCTGTGCACACCTGAGCGTCCACCCGGGCCTGAGTGAGGCTGTGCTGCAGCAGGTGCTGGAGCTCCTGGAGGACCAGAGTGACATCTTCAGCACATCAGAGTGCTACTACATGGCCTTCTGAGCGGAGGCCTGCGGGCAGCTGAGGAGAGGGAGAGGAGGCGCGGTCAGCCCCAGGCTGTGCTCATGAACAGCAAGCCAGGGTTCACGGGTCTGCAGGCAACTGCCTCAATAAACCATCAGCAACGGTCACTGGGGATGAGATTGGGCCTTCTGTGTGCTGCGTGCTTGGGTGCAGTGATGTTGATCCCAGCGGTGACATTCGGGAAATCCCTCCTTACTGCCTGGAAGGACTGAGCATCTGTCAGGGAACAGAACAGGAAGAAACAGTGGGTGGCTTCATCCATGTGTGATCACTGATGCGGTGAAGGGACACCACAGGGTAAAGGGCCTGACTGAAGAAACTGATTGCACAGTTTTAAACACCTTAGACCCCAGGCCTTTGACTGCATCCCCAGGGGCCCCTCTGAGGGGTATGAGGGGGTGGAGGGATGACTGTCACTTGCCTCTACCTTTGAGGTTCGGGGGCAGCAGCAGTGGGGCCTGGGGCCTGGCCTGCTGCTTGCGGAGAAGTGAGGAACCGGAGCCTGGCTCTGTGCTCATCGTTTTCCTGCGGCGTCTGAAGCCACGGTGCACGTCACCCAGCACCGCATGACTGCACCGAGGGCCCGCAATGGCCGGGGCCGGCGGGGGCTGCCGGCAGCTGCTTGGCAGTAGTGAGTGTTAGCCAAGGTGCTGCTGAGTCGGCAGGATGTGCCTAGACAGATGCAGACGTCGGGCTTTTTGTCTAAATAACAAGGTAGAAGGAAACTGTCCCAGGCATGTAACGAGCTTGTTCTAACAGAAAAATGACAAATTCCGCCAGCAAAAGTAAAGTATGCGGAAAGGCTTGGAGTTAATTACAGTCATTCTGCAGACGCACGTCTGCCCTCGTCTGCTGGTCTGGCTCTTGATGCAGTAGTCCCAGTGGCTCGGCTGGGATCCTGCAGGCCCAGGAGCCGCTCCGCCCTCCATGGACACGAACAGTTTTACTCGGAGGTCTACCTTAGTGGATGTGTCAGGCAGAGCTGGTGCCGGCAGATCACCCTGTCCTGCATCTTTCTGACTTGACCCAAACTTCTGTCAACTTCTAAGGTTGACTGCCTGCCTTATGGTCAGAGGATCTTTTGCGGGGAGGACTAGGATTGAACCCAGAAGTGTCCTACCCCAAACTATGTCTCCAGCCCTCCCCTTTTTTGGAGACAGGGTCTTGCTAATGTTCCCAGTCTGGCCTCAGACCTGTAATCCTCCTCTCTCTGCCTCCTCAGTAGCTGGGATTAGAGAGTATGCCCCCATCCCTGGCCCAGAGAGTCTTGAACAGAGGTTACCTGGAGGGACATCCTGGCAGATTTCTCTGAAGACCAGTGGCTTTTGAGGTTGAATACATCTTTGATTAGCAGGACTTCTAGGAGGAAGTCTAGAATCAAGATAGAGAGGGCAAATCCTGCCACAGAGCAGCCCTGCCCTAGGGGCTCACATTCATGGGGTAACTCCACAAGTGTGAGAGAGTTAATGCACAAGATGCTCACAGGCATGTAATCTAGAATTCTGTAATCAGGGAATTAGGGGGAAAGGTAATTATGGTCTATGAACATAATGAAATATTATACGGCCACTAAAATGATGGAGCAGACACGCTCTTGCCACAAACATGCTCCCAGCAGACTTAAGGGAAGAAAATTTAAATAGTACAATGTACTGCCACTACTGTAAAACTCTACGTGCACACACACACCCACGTTGCGTGTTTCTCTGTGTTTGGTTTGTAAAGGTGGCATATCTATACACAGCTTACAGCTGGCACTCCTGTCTAGAAATACTTCGTGCAGTGGTTTTCCCAGGTGGCACCTTCTCAGGCTCCTTTGCTTTGTCCTCCGCCTCCCTCAGGCTTTGGAACTCAGCATCAGTCCTAGACCTCGTTTCTGCTTGGCTCGCTCTTCTGAGGAGGTCTCAAACTGCTGGTCCTCCCACCTGTATGCTGCCACTCCGCACTCTGCACCCATGTCGGGCCTGTCCGCTGGTATTCAGACCTTCTCTCCAGCCTCCTACTGGCATCGCCACTCCAGGATCTAAGAGAATCACAAATCAGCCCGACACCAGGCTCCCAGCCTGTGCTGATCTCCAGCTCGGTCCTTCTCAAGTTTCCCTGATTCAAGAAAAGGCAGCTCCATGTTTTAGTTGCTCAGGCCAAATCCGTCCACTCCTTCCTTCGTCTCACACCCTCCATCAGTCTTGGCTCCACCACATTTCCAGAAGCCTGCTGCTTCTCACTCCTCCGCTTCACCGCCCTGAGTGTTGCAGGCCCTGCCTGTCCGGCTTCTGCCTGTGCTCCTCTTTTTGCAGTCTCAGAGTAACAGCTGCAGGGATCCACTCTCCGTGGCTTCTGTTCTTGCTCCAGGTCGGAGCCTGCAGGACCCCAGCGGCCAGTAAGGTTCTTCTCTGCCTGGCCTCACTGCTGACCCCTCACACTGCTCACACACCTGAGGCATGCACCTGCCTTAGGGCCTTTGCACTGTTTCCTCTGCCTGGTGTGTTCTTGGCCCAAATGAGCCACCGCCCTTCAGGTCTTCACTCGGGGGTCACCTGTGGCTCTCTTTGCTCATTAGAACCAACCTCTTCTCCCTCCTCCCTAGAATTCCCTCCCTGGCCTCACGTGTCCCACAGAACTTACTACTGCCTGGGGCACTCCACATGCCGTGTTCATCCTGTCTCCCTGGGAAAAGAAGGCTCCGTGGGGTGGATACTCTCTTGACGCCTGCTATGGCCCAGACCCATCCTAGTACCAGCACGTCTTTCAGCAGCCCCGCTCTGTAGCTTCTGTTGGCCACCATTGCCTGCCTCTCCTGTGCTCCCTCCAGTCTGCAAGGGGTCAGAATTAACAGCTCCAGGGAGCGTCCTCTGGGGTAAATGCTCCCACCCAACACCCACCAGGTGAGATGTCTTATACTAGTTCAGGCCATGTTTTACACTATTTTCTGGGTTTCCCCTTGGAATCAAGCGTCATCCCTCTGCAAGGACAGCCAGCTGATTACCCCTCCGCTTCCCTTCCCCCACTCCCCATTCCTGTTCGTTGCATTTCTCAGATGAATTTCTTGGTTTCCCGAAGTCTTTGCTTTAAGGTCAGCTTCTTGGTGAACACAATAACAGTGCATTCTCAGGTATACTTTGGAAGTACTGTATGAAGAACTCCACATGTCAAACAGATTAGTAGATGTGCTCGCCAAAGGGATACATCTGTTACCTCTGAAAGGTGGGATGTCAGGCGCTCTTAAACAACCTGTCAGTACGTGGTGTTTCTGCATTTAGCAAATATCACCTCTGCAAAAACAATGAAGCTCTTCCCCTCCCCATCCCACACTGAAGTAACCTGCATCGTGAGTGACCTGGGAATGGGACGGGCCTGGTTCCATAGTAATGTGGGGAGTCTGAGAAGACGAGAGACGCTCTTGGAAAACTCTCTGAGGCTGACAGTAGGTCTCTGATCACGTAGAGGAGACCAGTCAGAGGGTTCCCCTGATAAGGGGATACGTACCTTTGTTCTGGGAAGTGTGGGTCCATACATAGGTTATGTCGCCCACAAGGCAAGGACGTGTGCAGGTCCCTGATTAGCCCCGTCAGGTAAGCGCCCAGTGCTCCTCACCCCGTGAGCCGCTTCCTGGTCATCGTTTGCCCTGGATAGAGTGCCAGGACACAGGCCAGGAGAAAGAAAGCCATTCAGTGGTGAGGCGCCAAGGATGGAAACCGGGAAAACATCTACACTTCCTTATAAATGAGGTTTCTCTTCCACAAGTGACTTCTGCAGCAGTTGCCCCAAAGAAATGTCTTGTTTCCTTACTCAACTTACACGAGGCAAAGAGCAAGCTCTGATGGCAGACAGGCTTGCTGGACACGCCAGCAGCAGGCGGCGGGCAGGGCAGGGCAGGACAGTCCTGAGGGAGAGGGTGCTGTGAACAGAACCACGCAGCTGAGTTCTTATCTGTGTTCTACATCGAACCCCAAATTCTAGAAGGTGCTCAAGTCCTTCCTCCACGTCGAATTAAAATGATGGGTTTTTGTGTTAGAATGCAGAGGAATTTCGAAGACCACTTAATAGCTCTAGGTTCTTTTTTGCAGATACAGACAGTAAAGTGTGTCTTTAATCCAGGCTGACTTAGTGAGAGGTTATGTGAAGGAAAGACCTGGGTTTGAAGTGTTGGTACTTAAAGTTTACCCAGGGGCTGGGGATTTAGCTCAGCGGCAAAAGCGCCTGCCTGGCAAGATCGTGAGTTCGGTTCCCGGTACCGGAGAAAAACCAAAAAAAAAAGTTTACCCAGTGGTCCTTGTTAAATCTGAATCATCATGAAGGAGTAGTTCCTGGGGGTGTTATTTTAATTGTGTATCATTTATTATTTAATATCATTTACTTATGTATTATTTATCATCTAATATTTAGGTGATTTTAAAATGCTTGAATGCAAAATAGATAAAAACAGGATCACAGAAAAAGTCCGTGAATGTTCATAGCAGCCTTATTCCTAATAAGCAAAAAGTGGAAACAACCCAAATATCCATCAAATGGTGAATAAACAAAAATGGGTTAGCCACAGAATGGAATATTTTTGAGCCATGGGAAGGAATGAAGTTTTGATACAGAGAGTGTGAGCTAGGTGGAAGGTGGGTGTTCATTTTATGCACAAAGAACTTTTGAAGACAATTGCACTAAGCTCCAGAAGCCAAGCACAGAACGCCACATGCTGTACAATGGCATTTATGTGAACTGTCCAGGACATAGGCAGGTCCTCGGAGAGAAAAGTAGGTGTGTGGCTTCCAGGCATTCAGAAGGAGACGATTTGGTACCAGAGGGCTTCTCTTTGGGGGATGGAAGTGTTCCAGAATTAGACAGTGGGGTCGTTTACACAGCTCTGTGAGTGCAGGCAGACCACTGAACTGTGGGATGGCTGGTCACACATCACGGTGGGCTTCCGGGATGGCATTCCAACAGCTCGCAGCCAGATGGAGGCTGTATGGCCACACGGTGCCACTTCCTCAGCATCCTAATTCTTGAAGTTGTCACAGAGTCCCACCAACTTCAGGAGGAGAGTAGTGAAGTCCACCTTCTGCTGGGGAGGAGCGAGGTTCTGGAAGGACATCCAGATCCAGCAGTATTGCTCTGGCCGTTAGGGAAAATCGAGCCTTTCATGGACATCTTTGAACTTACACATACGTAAAGACGATATAGATTACCAGAGAATTCAAGCAAGGGGAAAGTTATCCACAACCTGCCAGGTAGTGTATATTTTTATAGAGAATATGTACCTTATTAGAAAAATAGCCATGTTAATATTTTGTGTATATTTGCAAAAACATTTTATATGCACCTTGCTTTTTCATCTGATGCTGTATCTGGGAGGGTTTTCTCCATTTTACATGCAAGATTAACCACATTCTTTTCATGGTGACATAATTCCATTGTATGGCTACACGAAAGTATATTCAACCAGACCCTATTGAGAAACATTTATGGGTTCCTAGTTTGCTGCTATTGCAGACAATTCTGCAGGAAACATCCCTGTACATTTTTCTTTTCTTGGCATACATTTGTGAGTATGTTTGTATGATAAATATCTAGCAGTGGACCTGCCAGAAAGGGCATGAGTATGTAAAAATTGGAATAGCCACTAACAAAACCACCCACTGCAAGGAGTGGCCCATGGAACATGCTTATCAGTGATTGATGAGTCTGCCATTTATCCACAACCTCGTCCATCCTGTGTTATCAATATTTTCATCTCTGTCTGACTTACAGGTAAAAATGATCTCAGGTTTCGCTTGCACTTGTTTATTAATGAGTGGTGTTGGGCCTCTGCTCATGGTGG